CCCCCCCCCCTCCCCCGATATTAGATATATATGCACAGAGCGTAACAAATTTGTTGAAAGCTTTATTCTCTTAATAGAGAAGAATAAATGAATATTCAGGTAATTAGTATCAAAAAGGATAAAAATCTTCTACTTTAATGTCCAATTTTTTATTTTTTATATATCAATGTTTATAACTTTTAAAACTGATAATTTTTAATTGCGGTTGCTCTACAAAAGTGTGCATTTTAACTACAGGAAAACATAACGAAATTTAACGCTTTCAAAATTCGAAAAGCGGCAATACCTTCCACATTATTGATAAAGGTTTCAAAGGTACCGCTGTGAACCGGGCATTGCCATCTTGGTTTGTATGGACCATTGAAATTACGCTTACAGTCCCTTTAAATATTTATCCGTCTACCTTGAGTTTTCCTGATATTCTTCCTGGAATCTTGAAAACTCTTCCTCGTTTAATCTCTTTAACTGTTCCTACAATCAAGCATTATTTATAAATATTAAACTCTTACAAACTTGTAACACTTATTTTCATAAAAGTAAACACATTGCATTAAAACAACCGTTAAACTATCACAGTCGTTAGACGTAATAGTCATTAAATTATAAACGATGAACACCATTGAACTACAACAAACGTTTAATTACAACAAACTTTTTGACTTGAGCAAACTTTAAGAAATACAACCGTTTAAATACAACGAACTTTGAATTATTTAAACCAATGAATTATGACAAATTTTTAACAGCAAATTTTTTACTTTTATACAAACGTTTAACTTTAATAAACGATAAACTACAACAAACGTTTAAGTATAAGAATTCTACAATAAAGTTTTATGATTAAAAATATGAATATTCTACCTGTAGTTTGAAAAGATGAATATTCTACCTGTAGTTTGAAAAGATGAATATTCTACCTGTAGTTTGAAAAGATGAATATTCTACCTGTAGTTTGAAAAGATGAATATTCTACCTGTAGTTTGAAAAGATGAATATTCTACCTGTAGTTTGAAGAGATGAATATTCTACCTGTAGTTTGAAAAGGATTAAAAAGCTGAATATTCTACCTGTAGTTTGAAAAGATAAATATTCTACCTTTAGTTTGAAAAGATGAATATTCTACCTGTAGTTTGAAAAGGATTAAAAAGATGAATATTCTACCTGTAGTTTGAAAAGATGAATATTCTACCTGTAGTTTGAAAAGATGAATATTCTACCTGTAGTTTGAAAAGATGTATATTCTACATGTAGTTTGAAAAGATGAATATTCTAACTGTAGTTTGAAAAGATGAATATTCTACCTGCAGTTTGAAAAGATGAATATTCTACCTGTTGTTTGAAAAGATAAATATTCTACCTGTAGTTTGAAAAGGATTACAAGGCTCCCAAGGATCTTTCTCTGGGACACAAGGCGGGGGAGGGGTTGGGAGCCGGTCAGCTAGAATTTCTTTATTTCGAGTACAGACAACTTGCCCCTCAACCCTATAAAATAATCAATGAAACTAAACAATCAATATATCAGGAGAAAGATCTGAAAGCCCCCAAGGATGGAAAACCCAGACCACCATCAGATATATATATCAATCAATCAAAAACTTAATTGATTAATGAACAAGTTACTCAAAAAATCAACCAGTTAATTAATCAATCAATCAAATAATTTATTGATCAATCATTAAGTTAATTAATCAATCAACCAGTTAATTAATCAACCAAGTAATTAATCACTCAATCAGTTAGTTAATCAACCAGCTCATTAATCAATTAATCAGTTAATTGGTTTATCAGCCTGTTAAATAATAACTCAACTAGTTAATTAATCAATCAACCAGATGATTAATCAATCAACCAGATGATTAATCAAGCAACCAGATGATTAATCAAGAAACCAGATGATTAATCAAGCAACCAGATGATTAATCAAGCAACCAGTTAATTAATTAATCAACCAGTTGATAAATCAATCAACCAGTTAAATAATCAATCAACTTATTAATTAATCAATCAACCAGTTCATTAATTAAATATTCAGTTGATTGCCTAATCAGCCTGCTCAATAATCAATCAACCAGTGATAATTCAATCAACCAGTTGATAATTCAATCAACCAGTTAATTAATCAATCAACCAGTAAATTAATTGATCAATCTCAACTCCAGGCCGTTATACAGGATTAATTGGTTTAATTGGTGTATTTGCCTTAGCATATCACTTGTGTGAGATTAAAACATCTTGATATTCAAACAGATATATCATTTAAAATTTCTTTATTTCTGAACGGTTCATCAAGTCAAGTTTCTGCATAAAAATTCGCGAGAAAAAAAAGAAGCATACTATTAAATTATGAAAAAATTGTTTATGACCTGGATTTGGATCCAGGATCCATTATCCGGATCCAGGATCCAGGATCCGGATCCGCATCAAAATGAAATGGATCCTATGCACTGACAAATATTATCAAATTCATTTTCACCTTTCGCTAATATCAAGTTGATCTTCTGGTAGCTCCGGGCTCCCACCATGCTATAAATTATGTTTAAAATACATAATTAAAAAATGGAGCAAAAAAAAAACAGAGAAAGGTCTCTTTGAAGAAAAGAAGAGCCAAGAGGCAGAACATTTTCTCTTCTTTTTAAAACTTGAAAACTTAGGTTTTTGGGGATTTATTTTTAACACATTGCATGAGTCAAAATAAGTGTTGTATTGCTAAAACTTTTCTGTGCACTTTGGCTCATTATAAATAATAATATATTCTTGGTTATGAAACAAAGTAGAAATATTAATTGTTTTTGCTTTAATCTTGTGTAAGGGTAAAAATTTGCTTAGTGCAAACTTTAAAAAAAATTGACTTAAAAGAAATTTGTTATATTTTCGTAGAATCTTAGATTGAATTGAACTCTATTATATTTTCGTAGAATCTTAGATTGAATTGAACTCGTATTATATTTTCGTAGAATCTTAGATTGAATTGAACTCTATTATATTTTCGTAGAATCTTAGATTGAATTGAACTCTATTTCCAACACTTATCATAGAACGAGGACATGATTTAGTTCAGTGTACACATTTTCATTCTTTTCAATTCTGGAATTTAGAATCACCTCTATGTGTAAAGAATACTCAAGCTCCTGGTGGATTGATCCATCATTTACATGATCTCCTCCAGGGTCAGCAGGAGCATCTACATCTTCATCAACCCCGTTATCATGACATCCATCATCAACACTTTCATCCTTCCCAATACAGTTTTTATTGTTAATGTGGTTACATGTTATAACTATATATAAAAGCTCTTCGATCATATATATATATATATATATATATATATATATTTGTTTGTATCATATTTCATCCAGTGCTTGGGATCCAATCAATTTTAATGCGGATCCGGATCCTGGACCCGCACTTGAAAAAAATGGATCCGGAACCAGATCCAGCTTATTTCCTTAAAATTTACTGAATTTTTTTTAACAAAGCAAACTTTTAATATTTTTTGTCTCATTTTTTTCGCTTATTTTTATGCTACAACTTGATGAACCATTAAGAAATCAGGAAATTTTTATTATCTATCTTTTTTCAATAGTTCGATTTGGGTTTTGAGAGTAAAATTTTTTTTCTTCAGTCATTACCAATTCTTTCAAGTATCTCATTTCCTATGGATATATTACAACTGTTAGGGTCAAAGTTGTATATATTTCTGTTAGCTATAGCTGTCCAAACGGCTGGACGAAAAGGCTGACATTTTTTGAGGAAACCCATGTGCACCTTAGGGGTAAAATAGGCGTAAAAAAATAAAATAAAATTCTTTATTTTTTTTAGTTTTTGTTTTGATTCCATGGGCAACGCCGGACACTCCAGCCAATACTTAATAAACCGCTAAAAACAACAAAGTCCCGCAAAATCTGTGGCAAGGATCCGGAATTATTTCGGAATCCAATCCGGATCCTTGGCTTTCTAGATCCGGATCTAAGGGCAAAATATTGACAAAAACCGCTAAAAAAATGTTTGCTTTCAAAATACAAATATCAACTGTTAACTAATTGAGAGAAAATCCTAATTTCTAAATCAAGGTTCAGCATAAAAAGAGAAAAAAATTTAAATATTTTTTTTAATTTCTAAAAAAAATCTCTAATTCTTGAAGAAATTTTCTGGATCAGGCTTTGAATCCTGATCCATTTTCGGGACCGATTCGACAATGCCCGATTTACAACGGTACCCTTAAAAGGTTCGTCTGTTCAAGTATGAATTAGAAATTCATGTTTATACTGTTCAAACTGTCAATGTTAATTTGCGGGTGCTCTGTGAAAGTAACTTGCATTTTTGCTTATAAGAAGCAATGGAGATATTAACGGAAATTAACACTGAACAGTTTTCGAGTCAGAAAAAAATACGTTATTATCCATATTTTTGATTAGATTGAGGTTTAAAGGGTAGGGTTGTAAATCTAAAAACTTAAAATTACGCTTATAGTCCATTTAACTATAATTTATCCAAAAGAAAATTATAAATGATTAAGTTTTAGATTTTCCAATAGGATATAATTCAAGGTCTGGCTATTTTTTAGTTCGTTCATTCCGTTAGAGAACAACCTCGGCCGTAAGTAATTAATTTAGATATGGAAAAACGAAGAAATAGTAGTACAGAAAAAGAATCAAAACGAGAAAAATTCCAAGAAAATCCGATGTTATAAGTAAACTTACCCTAAAGTCTGGATTTAAAACAGTTTCATCACATATGTTAGCATCAGTATTTGTTTCCAATGTCTAAATAATGTTACCATCAGTATTTGTTACCAAGGTCTAAATAATGTTACCATCAGTATTTGTTACCAAGGTCTAAATAATGTTACCATCAGTATTTGTTACCAAGGTCTAAATAATGTAACCGTCCTTAACCAGAGTCTATATTCCACTAACTATATTTATGTATAAGGTACATATAAAGATTAACCTTACCGATGATATGGTCAGTTAATAATTACGTAATGTATATACAGGTAGGTTCAATGATATAAAATCCCTTTGTCATTTTTATGTGTGAATGAGCTGAAGTTTTTGGTATTTAACCGCGGTTTTCCTTCTTGAGCATATACATATTTACCGATTAATCTGAGTGGCCACAAAAAAACAATAAAATCCACTAGTTTATTTTAAACCCAGGTTTTTTCCAACCCTGTAACTACTGACCACTCCTAACCTCCTAACTACTGACCTCTCATAGCCTCCCATCTACTAACCTCTCCTAACCTCCTAACTACTGACCTCTCCTAATCTACCAACTACTGACCTCTCCTAGCCTCCTAACTACTGACCTCTCCTAACCTCCTAACTACTAACCTCTCCTAACCTCCTAACTTCTGACCTCTCCCAACCTCCTAACTTCTGAACTCTCCCAACCTCCTAACTACTGACCTCTCCTAACCTTTTATACTGCTGACCTCTCCTAAACCCCCTAACTACTCACCTCTCCTAACCTACCAGCTACTGACCTCTCCTAACCTCCCAACTACTGACCTCTCCTAACCTACCAACTACTGACCTCTCCTAACCTCCCAACTACTGACCTCTCCTAACCTACCAACTCCTGACCTCTCCTAACCTTCCAACTACTGACCTCTTCTAACCTACCAACCCCTGACCTCTCCTAACCTACTAACTACTGACCTCTCCTAACATCCCTGTAGCGGTGGAGAACTGCGAGTTCATCTTGAAATCCTTCTTTGCTCCCAGCAGCTCAAAGTTAGGTCCGTAGTAAAGATCAACCTGATAAACCAATCAATTAATCAATAAATCAATCAATCAATCAATCAACCAATTAATCAACCAACCAATCAACCATTCTAAAATAAACAGATCTTTAAACATTGATTGAACCAAAAAAGCAATTGATTGATCAAGCGCAAAATTTTTGATCTAATCTGAATTAACATGATCAATAAATCAAAAACTTATCTTTTATCGTATTAATTTAAAATAAAAACTTTTTTTTTTGCATTTAACTGAACAGTGAACAAGGTAATTACAATTTAGCTTAATACTAACAATTAATTGAAAATTTTTTTCATTTTTAATATAAAATTGTTCGCTGCATTCTAATATTCACCTTTAGTATTGACGGGTCTTGACCTTCTTTTTCAATAAACTCCCTTAAAATCAAATCTATATTTTTTTTAGAAGAGCGCTTCACTCAAATTTTAAGCAAACTTCTTAATTATTTATTTTATGAATGTTTTGAATAAGCAACAATCAGAGAATAAATCTTATTAAAGGTTTTCAAGCATCATTTCCCTCTCTGTGAAATTTAAATTCTAAATTTAAAAAAAAACTTTGTCTGATTTAAAATCTGTTGAAATAAAAAATCTGATCAAAGTTGAAGTCCCAAGTTTCAATCATCATATCTCCCCTTTCTGTGAAATTAAGTTTAAAAAGTTTATAGAAACTGTAAAAATCCGTATTGGTTAAAAACTAGTAGAAAGCACAACTTCAAAATATTAAAAACCTTTTTCTGATTTGAGAAACAGGTTCAGGAGGGATAAACAGGGGTGGATATATTTTATCAAATAAAATAATTTCCCTAAAAAGTTAAGAAATATTTGCGATTTACAGGAGGAAACAAATGAATTATTGGTAGATCAACACAAAGTAGAAAATTTGTAACCTGAATATTCACCTTGGTGTAACCTGAATATTCACCTTGGTGTAACCTGAATATTCACCTGGGTGTAACCTGAATATTCACCTGGGTGTAACCTGAATATTCACCTGGGTGCAACCTGAATATTCACCTGGGTGTAACTTGAATATTCACCTGGGTGTAACTTGAATATTCACCTGGGTGTAACCTGAATATTCACCTGGGTGTAACCTGAATATTCACCTGGGTGTAACCTGAATAAATCCTAGTTTATCTTCAAGTGATCTTAAATCCACATCCCCTTCCTTGCAGTCAATATTCTTCGCCAACTAAATATTAGTATAGGGATCAAGATCAAGATCAAGATCAAGATCAAGATCAAGATCAAAATCAGGTTCAAAATCAGGTTCAAGATTACACAATTACAAAAGTAAGAAAGATCACATTATTGAGAAAAAGTTAAAACACCTAAACCAAGACATTGACAAAAAGTTAAAAAATACTTAAATCAAAACACAATAAATAGGTCTTACTTCAAGATGAATAAGTTTAAACTCCAGATTAGCATCTACTCCTCCTCTTCTTTTTTTTGAAGAGTTATCTGTTCCTTCACCATCCCCTCCTCCCTCATCATCATTCTAGGCAGACATCATCTCATCAGGGGATGAAGAGCAGACATAATTTCAATTGAATCATTGGTAGTGTAAAATGTAAATGTCCAATTTAAAATGGTGTCGTCTACAAATGAAAGCTGTAACAATGATATCATGTCTGCAAAGCAAGGAGTATGAGGATAAGCTAAAAGAGCTTAATCTTCAATCTTTGGAAGAAAGAAGGATTAGATATGACATGATGCAAGTTTTCAAATTCATGCACAATTACGATGATGTAGAGAGGAGACAGTTCTTTCAGACTGAAGGAGAAGACTCAGTCAGGGTTACCAAACAATCTTCTGATGCATTAAATATAATAAAAACCAGATGTAGGACTGAGGTCAGAAGAAATTTCTTCACTAACAGAGTAGCGGAGAAATGGAACAAATTACCAGAATATATCAAAAGAGCAGGAAATATTAAACCTTTCAAGTATTTATATGATAAAATACCAGAACAGCAGGAATGAGAAACCTATGATTAAAATGCTGGATACACAAAGACGTCATCTCTATGCTCCTATCTGGAACTCTGATGACAAATCTACAAGTATTCCCCCAATAGTAATTAAGTACCCAATAAAGGATCAATAATATTTTATTAATTGTCTAATTAAAAATTTGATAAGTTTAAACTGTGGTGTCCCTTTAAAAGTGAACTCAGCAGTTGCATTTAAGCTTTAAATATGATGAAGGAAACTACAGCATTCAAAGCAAAAAAGTAAAAGAGATGGATTTCTTCTTTTTTCAGACTCAGAGAGATGTTTTCAGGGTACCGGTGTGAATCAGACATGACATTCTTAAAATCAGTGGATCCGCAAGATTTTGGCTTCCTGGATCCGGATCCGCAAAAATATGCGGATCCACGGATCCGGATCCAAGGGTAAAAATATCAATCAAAAACTGAAAAAAACTTGTTTGCTCCTAAAACACAAATCTGAACCTTTGAAAAAAAGAGAGATTTCAAAAATTTCCTCATTTCTGAATGGTTTATCAAGTTTTAGGAAGAAAATAAGCGAAAAAAAATAAAACAAAAAATCTGAAAATTGTTTGTTGTTAAACAAATTCAGTAAATCTTAAAGAAATGACCTGGATCCGGATCCGTTTTTTCCAGTGCGGATCCAGGATCCGGGTCCGGATCCGCATCAAAAATAAATGGATACTAAGCACTGTATAAAAACAGGGGATATTAGTTCTAAAACTAACACTTGGCCCATTTATAACACTGAGTGTTAGAAATGGGCCAAATCTGCAAAGTTATCTTTTTCAAAAGTATCCAAGTCGAGTAGAACAAAATTACACTATATATTTATTAAAAATTACTAAAACTATATATTGAAACAATAAATGTCACTTTTAAACTAATAATAAGGTTTGAAAATTAGTTTTTGGTGATTCTTGATTTCATTTTCGAACATATCCTGGTTTTGAGACAAATACCGGAATTCATATCAATGTCAATTTTCAAGCATTTACGCACTTATGAAACAAAACAAGATTTTTTGATAAGGTAAAATATAAACAAAATAGGAAATAAAAACAAACTGTTCTTTTATAATTTAAAAATCATTACAGCATTTAGAAATCAAAATATTAATATCATTTGTTCTTACAATATAGATTTACCTAGAAATGCTGGAAACTGTTTGTTTAAAATGCATGAAAATAAATCATCGAATACTCAATAACGGGAAAGTAGGGTTTGTCTCAAAAACGCAACAATGTTTGAAATTCAGGATATATTAGATAAATGGAAAACCTGACATTGTCTTGAAAACGGTCAAGAGCTTTAATATAAAAAGAACTCCAATTATAATTTTGATTTTAAAAATGGGCTGAGTGTTAGTTTTGGGACTAATGTCCCCTGAAAAAGGAGGGGTAGTAAAAATTATGTTAGGGATAAAAAGAACACATAAAAAAACATACCAAAAGGATTTTAAAAGTTTGGATTATTGTATTATAATTTTACCGCATTATCTTTGGTTATCAAGTCCAACATTCGCATTGAAGACTGGTGTAGGTAATCAACTTTCTTGCTGTAGCAACTAGCAGAACCCTAGAATATATAGTTAGACTCCAGGAACGGCACAAAAGGAACACGGAAATTGCTCTTTTTTCGCGCAATAATTGCGCTAAAATTAGGTCAAACTCAGTTAAAGCAAATTCCGCATTTTTAACAACAGTATAACCGGAAGTCCGTGCAAAAATACGAAATTCACTGCGGAAGAAATCATTTGCGCGCAAAATGTGGAATTTTCGTACAATCATTTTTAAATTCACTGGAAACATAAACATAATAAAAAACATTTTCTTGAAACACCCGGTAACATAAATCATAAACCAACCTGTAGAAGCATGGCCGCCTCTGTAAAGTTTAATGTTTGTCCATTTACATTAATTGTTTGAACCTTGTCCAGATATTTGGCCAGCAGTTCACTAACTTGGATCTAAAAAATTATTTTAATTTATTACGGCTTGAACAAAGTCAGTTATCATATCAAATCAGAGTATGGAATAATTACCGACTATATTTCTAAAACTGAAATGACTATACTAAATCAGCATTAGAAGGTGGTGTTACCACTGGGACCATTTTCTAATTTGGTTTGTTGCAAAGAAAGATTTTTAGACCCCCACCCCCTCCATAAAAATGTACATAAAATTTGAATAATTTCAGAGGAAGGTAAGATTATAACACTTTCTGTTCCGAGCGCTGCGGCTAGGATAGGCTAGGGACAGAGCGCCGCGGCTAGGACAAACTAGGGGGCCAGGAGATACGGTCACAATGTGAACATTTCATGTACATTTTTCTATAAGGGGGGGCAGCGGGAGTCCAAAAATCTTTCCCTGGGAAATTATCTTTTAACTTTCTACGATTTGAGTTTTTAATGTGAAAATTTGTATTAAATCAAAAATGATCAAATACATTTTTACTGAAACATTTTAAAACGTCTTGAGAGAGAGGGAGGGATAGTGATATAGTTCAAACAAGTTTAACACTGGATGTGTAGAAATTAATGAACAAAGGGGTTGTCTTCCAAGTGGAGGTAGGTCACCCAAAACATGTTCTTTTCCGAGTTATATCGAAATTCGCATCTTTCAATTGTAATGTTTTGTCCATTCAGAGACCATAAGAATATTTTATAAAATCTGGACATATTGTGAAACTAAAAATAGTATTGAAGCTATTTATAATCGATTTACAAAATTCAATATTTTATCTAATATTGTAAGGACGAGGTGGCTTGAACGCAAAGTGAAGGGAATGTGGCTTGGACGAGAAATAGTTGTGGCTGGTCTTCCTCCCCTTTGTCTCTTACCATTTGTACGAGTTGTACTAAGATCTGACCTGAAAGTTTTGTTGAACATCTCGGATAGGTTTCAACAGTTCTTCAAACCTTGGGTCCAGAATAGATTCGCTATCATCGTCCGGGTGAATTTGAGACATTTTTCTTCGTCTCGATCCACTTTTCTGAAATAAAACTTCTTCTTAACAACTTTATTCAATACAAATCAAATCAACAATAGTATTTTCATTTATAGAATCATAGAGAGAAAAAAACGTCTCATTCTATCTATGTACCTATTGCTGTAATGAGTTGCTTTTCGCAGAGCTCTCCATTAATTAATGTTTTATAGAAGACGTGAGTCAGACTCTAATAAAAACGCATAAATGACTTCCAGTATATATATTTCTTATAACTTATTACTAGAGGGTTCAGAACTAGAGTCAATATTGATATCACACGTGTAGATGTTTATCAGTACTATGCCCCATATCCGTTCTATCTCATTCTGTTGAATCTTGTGGAACTTGTTTAACGCTGCCAGGCATCGTCTTCCACAGTTTAATCAAAATAATTTGCAAGCGTAGTTGCAGACTTTTCATCTTTAAATTGAAATGTGAACATGAACAGAACTGCAGTATGTAATTTAAAAATAATTTATATTATATGTTGCAAACGTAGTTGCAATTGAATGACTTTTCATCTATATTAATAAAAGAGAAAAATAAAGCAACGAAAAAAGACACAAAAAAATAGAGTACTGGAAAACCGAACAAATGGAAAATGACTTTTCATCTCATTTTAAGAAAAAAATCTAATCAAAGAAAAACATCCAAATAGAGACTTTTCGTCCAGGAATCGAATAGAGTTTAAGAAAACCAATCAAAAGAATCAAAAATAGAAAAAATATCGAAACTTCAAAATGCTTATAGATCTCAAGCCTATATATGTGAAATAAAACATAACAATGAAAATTTCGTATATCCCTAGAGAACGATTTTTGGATCCGATCCCATCGCTTTTTCAGTAAAACGTCGGTAATTTCCTATAGAACGATTTTTGGACCCCCCCCTCCCCCCTCCTATCAACTTCATACTTGGATCTTAAATGTAAGACATGTGGCTGGGGAGGGGTCCAAAAATCGTATACTAGGAATATACCACAGACCCTAATACTGTTGTGACAAAAAAGCTCATCACAGGCAATAAAAAAAGTAATGTAATTTGTGCAACGGCAAGCGGCAACCAGCATCAGTACCCCACCACCGCCAAATATTTGTTTTCAAGAATTAGCTCGAAAGCCGCGAATTTTTCAAGTTTCAAAATGGAAAGACGACTTTACCGGTGTGGCGTTATTTCTGGGTAAACGTTAAATAACGGTAGTAGACTCTACACAGCAAATTTTCCGCGGCATTCGCGCACAATTCTGTGAATGTAAACAGTAAATTAAGTGAAAGTATTTCTCATATTTGAGAATCAATCAAGTTTTGCTGAGCGACAGACAGTAAAATCAATTGTTTTAACATTAGGGATCGATAGGACAGCTTAGTTTAAGTAAGTTAATTGTTAATTTATTCTGATACTTGCAACTATAATGAGAGTTTAATGTAAAGTTAATTACTTCTGTAGTCACATTATATATATCATCATATAGTGTATATTTTAAGTGCATAAATATAATTTCTAACTTTAAAATTTCAGATAAAATACCAGATTTCTGTTGTGCGCATTGCCGCAAACTGCAAAAATATGCGGGGATGCCGCGGAAAATTTGCTGCGTAGAATCTTCTACCATTATTTAACGTTTACCCAGAAATAACGCCACACCGGAGAGTTGACGATGGTGTATTTTTCGACCTACGCAAATCCGCTATACTGCACTTCTGACCTACGCCAAATCCGCTATACTACACACCCGACCTACTAGCACGTGGTTTTACAGCTGCTATATGGACTTGTAGCCGCAGCGCTCGGCCCCCTAGCCTGTCCTAGCCGCAGCACTCGGCCCAGAAATTGTCTTAGCCTAACCTGTAACCCTCAAATAATACAAAAATAATCAGCTGGCGTAGGTCCGATATTGCAGCAGGTCGGAAAGTTAGTAGGGATCGGAAGTTCAGTGGGGGGATGTTGCGTATAGACGATGTAACATTACCGAGTTGACAGACTGGACTAATTGGTTAAAATGGACTATAGTCCTTCACAACTAATATATTTTTAATTGAACTAAGACATTACGATTAACAACCACATAAAGATTTCCGTCTAGAATTGCTCACGCGCGCAACCATGAGGGAAGACGTACTATAGCGGCACTATATATAAACTCCAAACAGGGCAAATGAAAAGATGTTGCCTATAATACAGGGTGTCCCACAGTTGGTAAATATGTTATGAAACTGGTTTTTCATTTACTGTTTTTTAGACTTTAAGGACAATTATCTAGGACTCGTGTTTAGGAAGGAGATTGACTGGTTCCTGGATTATAAATACATTTATTTATTCAGTATTAAAAGAAAACTATGTGATAGATAATCATAAATAAACTAATCAACTACTTTTTTGAATAATTTTGATTATAAAAGACAGTCAATAAAACTTATGATCAATCGATTAATTTATTACATCAGTCGAACTTCAAAAATAATATGATGTTCTTGTTAAGAATAAAAACTCAAATAACATTGTTGACCAAAAATACAACTTTTAAACCACCCCACCCCACTCCCCCCGTCCTTAAGTCATCTTTACCAAAACCTCCCTCGGAGTCGGAGACCAATCCAAAGCAAATCCGTTCAAATCTATACTCTCTGACGACTCTGACAAAGAAACAACAAATAGTGAAACGTTTTGCTAAGTACGTGCAGAATGATCAAATTCATAAATAACTTTACAACTATAGTTAATTCTACTTTAAAAACCGGGTATGTATTTTCAAAAGAAAACAAGCAAGATATATTTTAGATATTCAACTAAATAATTTACATTGTTATTTTTATTTTTACTATACCTGTATTTTATTACAGGTTTGAAATATATCTTTTTATGATCATGTTATTCTTCAGAAAAACCAGAGAAAATTTGTAGCAAAAAGGTCTTCAGAACCAATTCCTGGGAATTTCCCTGGAACTATTCCCAAGATTTTCTCAAGAGTTCCTCAGGAATATCTTGAAATATTCACTATCAAAAGTAATGAATAACTTAACAACTATATTGCCCCTCCAACCTTTCAGAAGTATAACCATCTTCTTAAGTCAGAATGTTAAAGTCGTTTTAGATCTTACTGAAGTTGTCATGTATTTTGTTTAATCAGACAAGTGAATTGTCAAGAAAAAATAAAAAATAAATGTTTTAAAATTTTTAAATATTTTTTTAAAAGATGGTTCTGAAGTAAATTATCAATTTTTTATCAACAAAGATGCAAAGAAAAAAAGATTTAGTTAGAGCAGTGCATAAAAGAAGAGAACCTCAGAGACACCATTGGTGAAAAAAGAAACTTGAAAATTCTGTGAGGAAGTCCTGAGAATTTCTCAGGAATTTCCTGAGAAATATTCTTGAGAAATTCTTAGGAATTTCTTGATTTATAGTTATAACGGAAAATCATCGTTTGTAAAGTGGAAGGCATAGTGTCTATGTGAAATGATCATTGGTCAATTATGAAACCAGCCTATTTCATAATTTGGTTTACTTTTAACAATAATTTTAGATTTTCTATAAAATGATATTCCAGGGCCCAAAAGGTTATATTGCATAAATATGTGAAGTACACCTGCAGTATGGAAACAGTACAACAAAATGGCCGTTTTACACTTTTTTCTAGTAAATTCCTCTCTATATATTCTATTCTCTATGGTTGCATATATCTTCTGTCAGGTTCAAAATTTGCCCGTTGGTTTGCTGCATATATCTTCAGTCAGGTTCAAAATTTGCCCGTTGGTTTGTTGCATACATCTTCCGTTAGGGTCAAAATTTACCGTTAGTTTGTTGCAAACATCTTCCGTCAGGATCAAAATTAGACGGTTTGTTGCATAAATCTTCTGTCAGGTTCAAAATTTGACCGTTTGTTTGTTGCAAACATCTTCCGTTCGGTTCAAAATTTGAGCGTTGGTTTGTTTGTTGCATACATCTTCCGTTCGGTTCAAAATTTGAGCGTTGGTTTGTTGCATATATATCTTCAGTTAGGTTCAAAATTGACCGTTGGTTTGTTGCATATATCTTCAGTTAGGTTCAAAATTTGACCGTTAGTTTGTTGCATACATCTTCCGTCAGGTTCAAAATTTGACGGTTTGTTGCATGAATCCTCTGTCAGGTTCAAAATTTGACCGTTTGTTTGTTGCATACATCTTCAGTTAGGTTCAAAATTTGACCGTTAGTTTGTTACTTACATCGACTTCCGTCAGGTTCAAAATTTGACGGTTTGTTGCATGAATCTTCTGTCAGGTTCAAAATTTGACCGTTTGTTTGTTGCATACATCTTCCGTTCGGTTCAAAATTAGAGCGTTGGTTTGTTGCATATATCTTTAGTCAGGTTCAAAATTTGACGGTTTGTTGCATAAGTCTTCGGTCAGGTTAAAAATTTGACCGTTTGTTTGTTGCATACATCTTCCGTTCGGTTCAAAATTTGAGCGTTGGTTTGTTGCATATATCTTCAGTTAGGTTCAAAAATTGACATTGAAACAAAAATTATGTTCACTAAACAAAACATTTTCTTCCCTTACAATATGCCAAAAAATGTTCAAAAAGCGACCTGAACAAACCAACATCAAAAATCATACTTTCAATACCAGAAAAGATATCAGAAGTAAACAATCTTAGAAAAATAGACAATATCTTCCAAATAATTGATTAGATTAGGTTAAGGTTTCAAGGGTACTGATGTGAATCGAAATTTCCATCTTTGCTCGAAGGGTCACTAAAAATTACCCTTTTAGTCCCTTTAAGGGCTCATGCCTTATTTTAACCTAATATTTATCAGTTATCTTATTTATTAACTTTTAGTTCAATCAGAAAAATTAACATGAAAGTATATGATAAATTTCATAATATTTGACCGGTAAGAAATCGGTTAAACCTTCTCACAAGGATAGAAATCAGTTGAACTTATTCCATGTTCTAAACTCAAAATCTACAAGAAAACACGAAAAAGTAACAAAAATATATTTACATCGTTTACATAATGAATATCAGAACTCCATAATTATAGGTTTAAGCACGGTTATATTTGCCCCAAATATGCAGCATAAATACACAGGCAATAAACAGTAAGGACATCACCAAAACAGGGACTGGTCCAACCTAAAGATAATTGTATTATTTAAAAAGTTATGATTGATAGCTTCTTCGTTCGCGAATTGTAAATCCTTATTTAAATCTCAGATAAGTGTAAGTCATGAATTCATGATTAGATTTTGATGTGGTCATAGGGTGTCCCTAAATGTCTGATTTGAGTGAACAAAGAATAAACGCACCCTAATAAAATGAGTTAGGTTATTAATTTGTATAAGAAGACGACATTCCTAATTACTTTAAAATATTAACATAAAATATAAAATAAGTAATTAAAAAATTAGATCAATTTTCTTTCAATGAATTGAATAAACTTGAGAAAGTGGTTGGTGATTGGCGAACTCGAATAAAAAACGGAATTGTCAATCTTTTAATATAAGACGACATTTGCATTCACCTTAACTCCTGGAGAATCGTCAGTGTAGAACCTCCACATGCCTCCACTGCTAGTACCTCCAGCCCTACAATTTTGCTAATTAATTTTGTTTAATGGAGCAAACTGATTCAATGTGAATTTCAAAAAAGCGTTGTCTGCCAGGTTTTTTCGAAATAAAAGATAAATTAAGGTTAAGGATAAGAACATTTTGATGAAGTTAATGATTTTAAAATTTAACAAAAATATTATTTCACGATTGTTTAGTTTGTTCCAGTGGGACCAATTGAACTTTGGGATAGGCCGACGACAGTAATTGTCTAGCTTTATTTGATGTAACAGTAGGGTATACACCAAGTTATTCAGAGAAATAGGAATGATTCTGTGTATATAACATTGCAATTTCTATATTTAACAATTTAAGCCCATATAATTAGTCTTTCGGGTGTAATCCTTATCCCCCGTTTTATCGGTTTCAATAGTAAAATTTGATTAAGTTTAAAATCAGTCATTATTGTTCACAGGTATCGACTTTACAGGAGATCACAAAAGAACGACCCAAAAACGATGCAAAAATGAACGAGTTTTAACAATCGTTTTGCGAAGCTTTTTAACAGCGAACTTCAACATAACTTTTTTAAAGTTGAGGCTTTTTAAAATTTGATTTAAAAAAGCGATCCCAAAATGGTTAAAAACACTACCCACTCAATTTCCAGTGTTACCCACAAAGGATGAGAATAAAAAATTGTTATCTACAAATATGAAGATCCCATAATTAATTTGAGTGTTCTGCCTTGAATGTGGTCGTTACATATGGTGTATTTAAGGATTTATGATTATAGATTACACATTTCGAAAAATGTATAGGCGCAGAATTTCTCCTGGGTTATTTACGGCTAAGTCTATCAAACCTTGTTTATCCTTTTACTAAAAAGCATAGGAAAGTCTGGCAGATAGAAACACTGTGGGCTCATAAACATTAACTCTAACCATTAATTCTCCAGGCTTGTAATAATATAAAAATTCCCATTCTCTTTGAAGTATTACCTAGAATGGCCATCATTTGGTTGTTTGAGATTAAAAATTATCAAATAAAAAGAAAAAAAGTTTAGAGGCAGGAATTCATGACTATAAGGTAACAGACAATTAAATTTCGAACAGTCGTCTCCTGAGTCTCATCCTTTCAGGGTAATTCAAGGTTGTATAATAAGGTTGGTTAATCTCGATGAGCTCCAATGTACGGAAAATGTCGTCTCCTAAGATAGATGAAACCTCATATGACACTGATTAGAGGTGAGAGCGACGTCATATGACCTTTTTCTTAAATATCTTGGAAGACATCATTTTCCGTACATCAGAGAGCATCGAGAGTGCACAACCTTATTACACAACCTTGGAATATTCCTTCATATAAGAGATGTTGTAACCAACCTAGTTGTAGTAGTGGTAGATGCACCCTTCCTCTGTCTAACGGCACCTCCACCTCCTGCCCGAGGAGAAGAACCTGTTCGTGGGGAACCAGCCCCAACATTTGTATTACTTGCAGCAGGTCCTACAAGATTAAGATTAATTATAAAAATTGAAGGAAAGAATTAGAACAAATAGCTTGAGCAAATAATTAATCATACTTTTCATCCTGGTTTTACTTCCCTTTAACATTTTAATCTTATCCTTCCTTTCATCTCATCTTTCCATCCTACCCTTTCTTCCATCTTATATTTCCATCACAACATTTTTTCCATTATACTTTCGATCTCACCCTTTCTTTGCTAATACACATTCTATCCTACCCTTTTCTTTCCATCACACCATTCCTTTCCTCTTATGCTTTCATACTTTCCATCCCCCTCCTTTCTTTTCTCTTATACTTTCAATCCTACCCTTCATTCACTCCTTTAATTTCCATCCTACTCTTTATTCCCTCTTATACTTTCCATCCTGCCCTCCATTCCCTTTATACTTTCAATCCTACTCTTCATTCACTTAATACTTTCCATCCTACTCTTCATTCCCTTTAATACTTTCCATCCTACTCTTCATTCCCTTTAATACTTTCCATCCTACTATTCATTCCCTTTATTACTTGATCCATTCTACGAATTCATTTACTTAAATACTTTCCATCTTACTATTCATTTCCTTTAATACTTTCCATCCTACTATTCATTCCCTTTAATACTTTCAATCATCCACTCATTCACTTAATACTTACCATCCTACTATTCATTCCCTTTAATACTTTCCATCCTACTATTCATTCACTTTAATTTCCCTTTAATACTTTCAATCATCCAATCATTCACTTAATACTTACCATCCTACTATTCATTCCCTTTAATACTTTCCATCCTTCCAAAAATCGTATACTAGGACAGACCCAATATTCACTTAAATCCGAAACTAAGAGAAACCATAAAAATATCTAATATATTTTTTGACCTGGCATTCTGACTCTGATGTGTTCACTATAGAAGATGTAATGTCAGTGTTTTCCTTCGGATACCGTCTGCAAGTTCAACGTCAGACGTGTCACTCATCCCACGCTCTTTCTCATTGGTTAAAATCTACCAAGTTGGAACACCGGGGACCAATCAGGGGGAAGGTTACAAGTAAATTTGAAGCAGACAAAATATATTTGGTTTGGAGAAGTGTCGTCTTCTTAGAATTAATTGCGCATTTTGCCGCGCTCAAAACTTGAGTACTTAATTTATATTTTCGCCGTGTTTACGTGTTTTCATTCTATTATTTGAAAGCGTCCACAGAAAAGTACTTAAAGAAAACGTTAATTATTCAATCAAAACCTTTTTTGTTAATGTTGACTCTATTCTAATTCTTAGTTAAACTTTTTTAATTCACGTTTTCTTAAAATTAAATTAGAATTGGTGAAAAGTGTAATCTTAGAGTTAATTAGAACTCAAGAATTATTAATTCGTTGATTTCCTAGAGAACGAGTTTTGGACCCCCTTCCTGGCCCCCCAATTATTAATTTTGTGCATGATCAAAGTTAAACATGTGGCCGCGCGGTCCTAGTCTGTTCTAGCCGCAGCGCTCGGCCCAAGCTTGTCCTAGCCGCAGCAATCGGGCCAAAAATCGTCTGTGCTTAATTCTTAACCCTAAAATGAAACAAAATAATAATAAATATGATGATAAATGGTTCCAAAATTGGTAATGTTCTAAATTGATAGGAGTGGGTCCTTAAATCGTTCTCTAGGATAGATAAGATTAATTCTTATTGTACGCTTTTTGGAATTTTCCCCCTGGCCCTCCCTCCTTTCAATTTTGGTGTCCGTCCTAGTATACGATTTGGGTCTGTCCTAGCATACGATTTTTGGACCCCCCCCCTCCCCCCCTCTCCTATCAATTTTGTACATGACCATTTATTTTTCAGCAAATTTATTATTATTTATTTTTTGTTATTTAGGGTTAGGTTAGGTTAAGATACTTTCTGGGCCGAGCGCTGCGGCTAGGATGGGCTANGGGGGGCGTAGTATTGTATTTGTTTCCTAGAGGAACTCGGTGCCCATTGGGGCTTGATAACCTAAGGAACCAAGAGATTTTAATGATCCAGGTGGGGAGTTGAGATCCCCATAGCTCTCCACATGAGTACGCCTCTGCATGTCAGTGTCCCTTGCAGATCCTTGTGATCTTGCTGTCTTAAAGGGAGTGTTCGCATCTAATCTTTCTTCTATCTGTTGCGTCTATAAGGAGAAAATTGTTAAAAACGACTAATACCGAAGAACGTTCTTCAGTAGTCGTTTTTAACAATTTTCTACTTATAGACGCAACAGATAGAAGTAAGATTAGAAGCGATCAAAAGCGCTTATTTATCGCATTAAGCCTATACCCCCTTTCATTTTTCGCGAACACTCCCTTTAATATGAATCATTTACAGCTAATCCACACTTAAATGTTCGCAGCAATTGATTTCTGGATTTGTCGTAGAGAACGTTTTTTGACCCCCCACCCCCCGACCCCCTTATTAATTTTGTACATGACCAGTATTTTTCAACAAAATTAACAATATTTATTTGTATGAATTCCGGGTTTGTTCAGGTTATGACAATTTAAGGGCCGAGCGTTGCGGCCAGGACAGGCTAGGTTAGACTAGGGGGCCGGGTGCTTCGACCATATGTTCATTTTGTAATAAACTTTATACAGGTACGCTTTTTAGACATACCCCTCCCCCCTTCCATCCTGTAATAAACTCTATACAGGTTGCCCACTGAACCCTGAAGTTATGAAAAGAAATATTATTAAGTTAATATTTAATGATTTACCATGAAAATGCAGTCATGACGGGGTCAATTGGTACAAACTAGGTCAATTGATCATTTAAAAAAAAGATCAAACAAGTTTTAACTTTTGATAATGACTTTATAGTATATTTTCCCCTTTATCTTTATAAGGAAGATTGATTAATTGATCGGCCTGTTGTTTAATTGATTTTTTGATTGATGATTGACTGATTGGTTGTTTGCTTAATCAGTTGAGTGATCGTGTTATTGATTGATGGATTGATTTGTTAATTGATTTATTGTGTAGATGGCTAAGAGTAAGTTTGAATATGTGCGTGGAATGGAGGTGGAGGATAAACTGCTCCCCAACACCTGGATTGTAGTCAGGATAGACGGAAAGGGATTCCACAAATTTTCAGGTAGAGAATTGTAGGATATTTTAACTAGTTTTCAGGTAGAGACTAGTCGGACATTTTAACAAGTTTTCAGGTAGAGACTAGTTGGACATTTTAACAAGTTTTCGGGTAGAGACTAGTCGGACATTTTAACAAGTTTTCAGGTAGAGACTAGTCGGACATTTTAGCAAGTTTCAGGTAGAGACTAGAAGGACATTTTAACAAGTTTTCAGGTAGAGACTAGTAGGACATTTTAACAAGTTTTCAGGTAGAGACTAGTCGGACATTTTAACAAGTTTTCAGGTAGAGACTAGTCGGACATTTTAACAAGTTTTTAGGTAGAGACTAGTCGGACATTTTAGCAAGTTTCAGGTAGAGACTAGTAGGACATTTTAGCAAGTTTTAGGTAGAGACTAGTCGGACATTTAAACAAATTTTCAGGTAGAGACTAGTCGGACATTTTAGCAAGTTTCCAGGTAGAGACTAGTCGGACATTTTAACAAGTTTTCAGGTAGAGACTAGTAGGACATTTTAACAAGTTTTCAGGTAGAGACTTGTCGAACATTTTAACAAGTTTTTAGGTAGAGACTAGTCGGACATTTTAACAAGTTTAGGTAAAGAAAAGTCGGATAATGAAATAATTTTTCAGGCAAAGAATATTCGAAACATTTAAACACATTTTCAATTAAGTTCAGTTAATTGTTAAATAGAAAAAATGTTGAAAAGTTTTGAAATATTAATGTTAACTTAATTTAAGGAGCCGGGTGTATATTTTCCTAAAGAATCATTGTTGCTATGGTTTTCTTCACTTAAATGAAGAAATTAAATGATTTTTAGGATGAAATAAATTAATTTTTAGGCAAACAAGATGAAAAAACTTTTTCAATTGCAATTTTTGTTTTTGCCCAAATTCAGACAACCCCATTCTCTCCGGGGTGTAATTCTTAAAAGTGTACACCCCTCAATTTAAAAGTTAGACCTGAACATATGAAAAAAGTCGAGTTTCCTGGCTTAATCTCTTGGTTCATCTGGATGAACTTACTTCTGTATTCAAATAGGATTTTACGCCATCAAAGTGTCCAAAATCAAAATGAAATGATAGTCGTTCTTAACCATCTCAAAAGTTTGTTTTTTAATGTTTAATTTAAACTATATCTACATTAATTAATGTTTTTCCTTTTTTTTAATTAACCTTTCGATCGACAAAACTATATTTAGCAGAGTTCCATACTTTGTATAACACTTATAAATTCATTCATATTTAGATGCACATGGGTTTGAGAAGCCTAATGATCTGAGAGCACTGAATCTCATGAATAAGTGTGCCAGGAAAGCTTTAGATTTTTTCAAACAATACAGTTTTCTCAGTTTTTTTTTTGTTATAGTATTTACAATGAACAATAAAACCTTTTAAGTTTATCGTTTTCAATGTGCAAAGAAATCAGTGCGAAAAATTCGGATCCGAAGGATCCGCAACATTTTTGGTTTCCGGATCCGAATGCGCTAAAATTTGCAAATCCACGGATCCAGATCCAAAGTGTAAAATATTAAATAAAAAAACGGTAAAAAAAATCTCGCTTTCGGATGCTAAATTTGAACTTTAGAACTAAATTATATTTTTTACCCATATCTTTGTTTCCTTTGTAAAAAGTGACGGATGCCTAGAGCTGTTATGGATGATTTTAACGAGATAATACTCTCCTACGGACAATCGGATGAATACTCATTCATCTTTAGGAATCATACTCCTCTTGTATTTTCTCGTATGTTTTAAATTCTAAATTTTCTACCCACTGTTAACTGTTATCAGAGAATTTAAATAAATATGTTAACAATTCTGAATTTTGATCTTTTGGCGGAAATTTATCATCTTTTAGTTCTTAGAAATGAAAGTCATATGTTAGATGCTTTTTTAAAAACTTTGAAACGTTCAAGTAGAAGTATTGTTTAATGTACGTTCAAGTAGAAGTATTGTTTAATGTACGTTCAAGTAGAAGACGTTCAAGTAGAAGTATTGTTTAATGTACGTTCAAGTAGAAGTATTGTTTAATGTACGTTCAAGTAGAAGCATTGTTTAATGTACGGTACAACCTTTACTTGTAAACACAGAGTATGTTTGAATAGAAAAGACAGTACAGTGTACAGCAGACGAGGTTCTAAACTAATAACAAATATTTCAAGTTTGTTTGCAGCATCTTACGTCTTTCATTGGCCACAGGAAACCTCACAATGATAATCAAGAAAGTTAAATTTTTGTTCTTGTTTTAGACATTTTGAAGAAAAAAACCCCAAAGATAGGACATGTCATATTAAATGATCATGAAGAAATTACTTTTCACAGACATTTCATAGACGGAAAACATTTTTATAATGTAGAACATTTTTATAGAAAGGATATATTATGATTATCTATTTTTAATAAAGGGCATTATATCAACCTAAAAAAACAGAAAGCTCTCAAAAAAGAAATCATTGAGATTTAAGTTAGGTGTTAAATTTTTTTCGTTGATCTAGCTGCAAGTGTTTAATGACTTTTTTGGTGAATTTTTAGTTTATGCCAATTTTTGTCAGTTTTTAGAATCTAAGTCGCTAATACTAATAGTTTTCTATTAAAATCATTGTTGGTTATGTTGAAGTTTTTCCCCGACAAGAGTTTGAAGTATCCGCCCTGTTTTGATGGAAGAGCCGTACTGTATCCATCAGAAAAAAATATTAGGTACCACTAACTTTTTAATATATGACGTGCCCCCCCCCCCCACCTTTTTCTTTTAGAATTATCTAACCTAACCTGTAATAGTGTGTGGGGGGGGGGGGGTCCTGAGGATGGAAATAGAGTGAAGAAATACACGAATTAGAACACGAATGCGTGACAAAGTAATTTTACCACGCACAGAAAGCTGTAACTTATTTTAGGTAAAAATGTGGCGCTTGCGCGTGTCAAATAATTCCAATTAAAGATAAATATTGTTTGTGTAGAGATTATCTATGCTGGCGACAAGCAGATTGTCATATTAATAATCTGTACAACACAGTATTCTGGACTCTAGTAAACAAAGGTATAAAATTCTATAAAGTCGCTGTTTTTGATGAACTTGTTAAACAAATTTTGTTTTCTCTATTTTGTATTTAACCTCAATTTTCACCAGATTTTGGTCAATTTTTAAAAAATTTGATGAATTTTCTGTTTGAATTTTTATATCGTATTTTTTGAAAAATAATTAAATTTTCTAAAACATTCCTGCAATGATATTGTTAACCTTGAATGGGGTCGGAAAAATAATTATTAACATTAAGCGCTACGGACATGCTAGTGGTATTTAACCTTATCTGTAAAGGATTGATTATTCTGATGTAGACAAATGATATTTAGAAATGTCACCAGATCACATAATAAAAATGGATATTTGGATTGAAAATAATAAAACTGGATATTAGGATTGAAAATGTAATTGTAGAGTATGGGGTGAGAATTCAGTTCTCTTTTTCCCTTAAAAGCAGTTTTTTATATTATTTTTAATTTTTTTGCTTATGTTTTAAGGTTGTCTTTCTACTCAGCAGGCTCAGGAACGGCTGAAAGGAACCGTATCAGGTATGCTAGGCTTCTAGAAAATGTTTATATTCTATTAAAAACTATTTTTTTAAAGAAGTTTGCTATGTGTGCGAGTGACAAACAAATTTTTTACAAGTTTTTTTGTGCATTGCGGAAAATAGATAAAATATTGGGTTAAAAGTATAACAAAGGAAACTTGTCTTTTGATGTCCAATCATAAAAATTTTACACCATATCTCCAAAAATAGTTTTCCCATGTAATGTTACAAATTGTCTTGTTAATTATGCTGAAAAACAATATTGTATTCTAAGTTTTGATGAAATACAAAAAATGCTGTATTATGGGGATAAGAATTCTCGCCTTTTGATGTCCAATTTTTAGTTTTTTTTCCACCATATCTCCAAAAATAGTTTTCCAATGAGACATTGTATTCTGAGTTTGTTATAAGCATATTATTGTAAAAATGGGATAGGAATGAGATATTGTATTCTGAGTTTGGGATAAACATAGTATTGTATTAAGGGGATAAGAATGAGATATTGTATTCTGAGTTTGGTATAAACATATTTTTGTATTAAGGGGATAAGAATGAGATATTGTATTCTGAGTTTGGTATAAACTACAATAAGGAACCAGATCAGCTGAAGAAAGGAACAACAATAATAAAACGGAAGCAAACGATACCAATGGATAACGGAGAGACAAAGGTTATATTTGATTTCTATTCTTGTTTCAATTTTTTGCTTGCATAATCTCGAAAATTTTAGATATTAACGCTGATAAAAGTTTGAAGCCCTAGAGAGCTAAAAAAAAATTATGAATTTATCATGTCAAATATAATTTTTTTCGTAAATGTCTAAAATAGTTAAAGCCGTTGAAATTTCAAAAATTTACTGAGTGAAGTTCCAAAAACCTCCAAAAAAGGTTTTACTCATATTTAAAAAACATTTTTACAAAAATTCCAAAGTATCTGAGTTCCCTAAGACATTTTATCATGATAATTTCATAAAAAAATGTTTACTTTCTTTAGCAGTTCTTAGGAGGCGATTATCTAATAGAATTTAAGAGCTGCCGACCTAAGATTTTCACGAATTAATCACAGTATGTAGTGCAATGGAAAAAGTTATTACGCTCTTAAATGGCGCGCCATTTTTTAAAATTAGTAATCATTTGTGGACAAAAATTGAACATTATTCTGTGATTAGGATTCGATCTGAGAATCAGATATCATGCAAAATATTCATTAACTGGATCCGGTTTAACATTTCTTCATTTCAATAAATGGATCCTAAGCACTTGACAAAACATTGAATATATTTTTTGCACTCAAACACAAATTTAAAGTGTCAACTAATCAAAAATCTTTAGTATCTACCTGATTACTGAATAGTATCAAGATTCTGCACAGAAGTGAACAAAAAAAGAAGAAAATTAGCAACGTTAAAACATATTTACTACTTATAAGCCGGCTGCAGATCCATTTTTATACAGGATCCGGAAAACTGATCCGCATCAAAATGAATTGGGTTCTAGGCATAAATCTTTTTTTATTTTCTGATTGTAATGTAATCATTATTTTTCCAGTGCTTAGAATCAGGATCCGTTGGATTTGCAAGATTTTTGCTTTCTGGATCCGGATCCGCATAAATATGCAGAAAAACTTTTTTACTCTCCAAAACCCAAATTTAAACCGTTAAAAAAAGAGAGATTTTAAAAAGTTCCTGATCTCTCAATGGTTCATTAAGCTTGGCATAAAAATAAGCGGAAAAAAAGAAGATAAATAAGTCCATTCTGCTTTAAAAAAAATTCAGTTAAGAACCGGTGACAAGTAAGACATTTTGTTATATTTCTGCAAATGTTAATTAAAATTGAAAATTAATGTTCATGGCCTGGATCAGGATCCATTTTTTTCCAATGCGGAGCCAATTTCGGATTAGCATCAAAATTAAATGAATTTTTTACCAAATCATTATCTTCTTTCCATGATTGTTGTTCTTTTACTTTATTTTTTTCAGACCCGAACCCAAGTTGTGGAACTGGATTGTGATATTATAGGAGATGATTTCTGGAATGAAAACCCTCATCTCCTTGTGCCCTACAGAGATTTATAACAGCTTGAACATACAATCATATTATTTTAGTCTATTCACAATTTTTTTTGGGGGGGGGAGGGGAGGGGGTTCATGAATTGTTATTTTGAGCTTTAGTAATAAAAAGTTTGTTAATGATGGCTTTTTTTCCTGTGAAGCTTTAACAAAATTTAATATCCTTGAAATCAGTGCTTAGGATCCGGATTCGTTGGATCCGCAAGATTTTGGCTTCCTGGATCCGAATCCAAGGGGCAAAATATCAAACAAAAACTGAAAAAAATGTTTCACTCTCAGAACGAACCCAGATCTGAACTATTGAAAAAAGATCCGCATCAAAAAAATAAATGTATCCTAAGCACTGCTTGAAATATGCTGTCTTGGGGTTTTATTTAACATGAGGTCTTCCAACTTTGTTAAGAATAGTTTAATGGTTAAAGTAACAATTTGAAGAAAAAAAACTGAATTTCATGAATCACTCATTTTTTGCATTCTACAGTATTCCTTTAGATTTCAACTTTTTTCAATTTTCCTATTTTTTTCAGAATCATGTTGTCTAATTGCAGATCATTTGCTTCAGAATTTTCCCGTCGCTGTTTGACATCAAGTATTTTTTGCAACAATGATAATAATCAGCAGGTGATATTTTCAATCCACACCATTTTAAAGAGACTACGGCGTACGCGTAATTTCAAGTGACCCATCATTCGTTTTTGTTTTTCTGCAGAGCAGTTAAAATGCGTTGAAGTCACTTTTGCGGAGAAAAAACAATTGAAAATAAATCAGTTTTCAAAATTATTTCGAATTATAGATTTCGAATTCATGCTAAAGCAGATAAAGCATCGTTACATAGAGTCACATGAAATTATGCTTACAGACCCTATATTCTGTAAGGAAAATTGGAGAATAAGACATTTTAACTTATTTTACTTTGTAAATGTTTCATCTGCTAGATAAAGGATTTCATGACAGTCTATAAAAATGTATTTAATGGTATATTATGCGTAGGAAAAAAGTGTAATAATCAAAATTATTGTTATAATATTAAAAGAAAAACCGTGGAATAATCAAAATCAAATCAAATCAAATCAAAAGAAAGTGTAATAATAACTATTTATAACACTGTTATTTTGGTTTGCAGTGTAATAAAGTTTTTGGACAGAAATTTTCTTCTAAGATTTAATTTTGTCCCTAGCTTTAGTGAGGGACAAAATATAATCTGAAAGGCGAGAACCGTCGAGATATGGAGAATATTTAAGTCAAAAACTGTATAGGACGTCTTTCCAAAATAATAGTATTATAAGTAATTTTATGAAAAATTTGTGTACTTAATTTCATTGGCTGTTTCTAGATCAAAAAAGCTTTGAAACAAAGCAGAAGTCAAAATATAAAGTTGATTTTAATTTTGTTTTTATTTCAATGGACAAAAAATATTTTGGAAATATCCTATTTTTTTTGGAGAAAATCCGGGAACCAATTAAAACTTTATAGCACACGTGCTATAATGTACACCTAATTAAACATTATAGCACGATGATTACTTTATATGAAGTGAGTAATAATGATTAAGTGAGTAATAATGATAAAGTATATACACTATAGTTTCAAAAAGTTATTTCATAATATTTCTTTGTTTTTTTAATGTACTTTTCGTGCCACTATTGTACCGTATCTTGTATTGATATCTACATCGGGGTGGGTCGATCTTCGGAATATAAGAAAATAATAAATATAATAAATATAATAAACATTTTTTAATGGCTAGCTGAGAGCTATTAAAAGAAAAAAAGATTTTTTTAAAAGTCACAGTAAGACCGACATTATTTTAGAGGGTATTGTCAAAAGTATCATCGTCTACAAACATGAATTCAGAACCCTTTTAACAGTGGTTTCCCAATTAGAGACAAAAAACTGATATTAGTATTAATTGAACATTTGGTAGAGTCAAGAAAAAAAAGTTTTTGGCCAAAAATCATAGAATTTAAAATATTAAGAAAATTAATATTAAGAATTTAAGAAAGTATTCAATAGCTTACCTTGACATGCATCTTGTGACACACATATCGATGTAATTTTTTCATTCAGATATCCACTATATTTGACTTCTGACTTTTTGATCTATTATTTCATTAAAATAGCTCTCAACTGATCTTTAAAAAATTTGATTATTAAATTTTATTTTGGCAAAGTTCTTAGAATTTCTAGCTTACAAGTTTTGTTCCAAAATCGATCTAAACTAATTTTTTGTACTGAATGTCTTTACAACACCCCCAATTAAATAACAGTTTTACAGCTCATAGTACATAACAGTACAGTACAGTACATAATATCTTCATAATACACCAAGTATATAACAATTAAACAGGTTTAGCTATATTCATCTGTACATAACGTCTACATCATTACAACGAACTTTTTCAGGTTTATTTGTTTGTACAGAACCGATGTGTGCATCAAGCCTCTAAAATGTCTGAAACAACCCATTTAACGAACAAGGTCGGATTATTTCTTATCTCTGGAAAGGGACTCTTGGCACAATTTCAAGTTATCCGTAATCTTAACGAATGTCAAGCTCTGAATCACAACGTTTCATTTAAATCTTCTATAATAGTAAGCTACAGTATGCTCCACTTAGACTGACACTATAATTTGACTTAAAATCCAAGAAAATTTATTTTAAAATCCGCAAACTTGCATTTGGAGCTTTTTCCACAAGTTTAAACTATGCCTGGACTTGAAGGTGATGTGATGCTGTTCAATGAGAATTCACCTTTTTGTCTGAATTTTTCTCTCATGAGGGCAAGGAATGGCTCATATTAATCGGTATCAGCCCAAATCCTTGAAGATTTGATGAATGTTGTGGATGACTTGCTCTGAACGTGGACGAGTCAATGTTGAGGAAGATGGAGGGCGCAAATCTCGGCATTCAGGAGAAAGGACATTGAATGTCTTCTCTAAGATCATTCATAAATAAATTCATAACAAATAAAGAATATAAAATAATTGTTTAGTAGTATTGAAGAAGTTAAAAGTAGAGAAGTTGTTGAATTATGCGATTTTTATTGTTTTAAGTCATTTTATATTTGTCAGTCTAAGTGGATATTACTGTATCAATACTTTTCAATTATGGTTTTCTTATTTCTTCTTTGGTGAATCTCAGAAGTCCATTATAAGAATATCTACCAGGCAATGAACGGTTTTTTCAAGAGTAACTTTCGAATTTACGCATCAGAATTCAAGATGGAATGAGAAGAATTCGTTGACGATAGACAAAGGACAATGCATTCCATATTGTTTCTCAGATAAAATATAAGAGGGTACCTTTGCGAATCAGGCATGCAAACTTTTGATTTGGAGTCCCTTGAAAACAGTCCCTTTAATTAAATACAGATCAAATTACAAGAAAAAGATTAAGATAAATTATAAATAAAAATTTGAATTTCTATAATCTTAGTTTTTGATTTTAAATTTTATTATTTGGTTTAAATTTTAACGTTTTCGTTAAGATGGTTCGGATGAAACGAATGAATATGTTTGACGCTGAAAAGAAAAGACAAATGAATTTAGTTTCCAGGTGAGATTGTGATCATGGGCGCAATAAAATGATTCTTAATGAGGAGAGGGGGGGGGGGGTGCAATTTTGCAAAGTTTACAGAAGGCAGTGCTTAGGATCGGATCCGGATCCGTTGAATCCGCAAGATTTTGGCTTCCTGGGTCCGGATCCGCAAAAATATGCGGATCCACGGATCCGGATCCAAGGGGTAAAATATCAACCAAAAACTGAAAAAAAAACTTTTTTACTCCTAAACCCCAGTTCTGAACTTTTGAAAAAAGAGAGACTATAAAAATTTCCTCATTTCTGACTGGTTTATCAAGTTTTAGGATAAAAACAAGCGAAAAAAAATAAAACAATAAATTATTTTTTTGTTAAAAAAATTCCGTAAATCCGAATTGGATCCGGATCCTTTTTTTCTAGTGCGGATCCAGGATCCGGATCTGGATCCGCATCAAAATTAAATGGATCCTAAGCACTGACTGAAGGTGAAGAACTTTAGTTTTTATGAAAAATTATTGCAAATATTTAATCTTTCATATAAAGATTGTAAACTTTGTAAACTAAAACTTTTTAGGAACACCGTACCAAACAAATTCATATTTTTAAGTGTATGTATATGTATATTTCTAATTCAATTCTTATTGTACAGAATAGAGAAGATCGCAGTACAGTACGAGGGACAGCCTGAGGATGCGCTGCTGTACATGAACAAGGATTGTATTTTTATAATTAATAAATTTTACTTCTTTGCTAATTGATAACGAGGGGGCGAAGTTTGCGGATTGCAGGTCCATGAGACTGTTGTAATAAACTTCTCTGGTGCGCGATGTCCATATACGCTACTATGGTTCAATGGCTACAACAATAACAACAACTGAATTTAATGAATTTAAGCTACATCGTTGAACTACCAACTGCCGGTTAAAATTTGAACCACCGCGCCGATTCAAAGTTTAAGAGTCAGGAAGGATTTTAATCTGCGATTTGGATTTGAACCTGCATGCCAGCAGGCAGTTCGGCACTCTCCTGAAATTCCTTAAATTCTGATCCAGGACTTGTATTGTTTCATTTTATTCCAGTTTTCCCGACCTTTGGATGATTTCCTGGATTATGATTGGCGCGTATAACCTCCCCAGTCCCCATCTACTTCAACCAATTTTTTTGCCATACTTAACAAGTTTTTTAATGAAAAAAATGGAGGACTCCTTTTTTTGTATTAGAGTAAGAGATTTGGGGTGGGGAAGGCAAGCCGCACCCTGTATAGCCTCCATCCCGAAATTTTACACACAAAAATAAACTTATGGCAACGGGCTTACCCGTAGTGCTTCCTTAGTCTCACCCATATATCTTCCGGCAAAAGTAAATTGCGGGATGGAGGTATTACGGGTTCGGCTTGCCTTCCCACCCCACGTGAGAGAGTTAGTTTTTAAAGCGTTTATATAGACGGTTCTTAAACTTTACAATTTCACACATCTTTTTTGTTGTTAGTTTCTATTTATTACTATTTTCCGCTAGCCAAAATAAAATGTTTGAACAGAACCTATCTACGCCGTACAACGTGTGCCAGCATCTGGGGGAGATGTTGATTGATAGATCTGCATTGGCCCTGGTAAACGGTCAGCTCTGGGATATGAACAGGTACTTCATCTCGATATCCATTGGGGCAACTTTTAATTTGAAATTTGTCAAACAATTATTTCCCACTCTTCCCCCCGTCAGAGAAAAATAATTTTGTTTTAAAGGAAAATTAAATAATAAAAGATCAAAATGTTATAAATGGAAAAACCAAATGAAGTTTTTTATTGTTTCCCTAACGTAAAAAATCGTCTATGGGGGGGGGGGGGCGGAGGTTAAAACATACCATTCAAAAACGTAAAATTTTAGGACCCCCTCCCCTAAATTACTAAGTAGTTGTTAACGTCTCAGAAATCAGATTAGGTTTTGGGGGTTAAAGATCAGAAATGTTCATGACCCGGATCCAGATTTGGATCCATTTTTTAAAGTGCGGATCCAGGATCCAGATCCGGATCTGCACTAAAATGAAATGAACTGGAGAAGGGATAGGGTTTGTTTTCAACTTCTAATTATGATGTTTTATAATTTAACTCTATAAAATATATTTTATTGTAGACCGCTGGTTGAAGACTGTACACTAAAACTTCTACATTTTCACTGCGATGAACCATTTCATGTCAACAAAGCTTTTTGGAGATCTTGCTCTTTTATGCTCAGGTAGAGGGGTTGTTGTTATCGTTGTTCAGTGCTTAGGACCTTGATCCGTTGGATCTTCACAATTTTGGCTTCCTGGATACGGATCCGCAAAATCATGCGGTTCCACGGGTAAAAATATCAACAAATAACTGTTAACAAATTTTTTGTTCACGAAACCCAAATCTGAACTGTTGAATAAAAAGAGAGATTTTATAATTTTTTCATTTCATTTCATTTTCTATAAAAGATTCAAGTTTTAGCAAAATAATATGCGAAAATTTGAACCATTTAAGTCATTTAAGTTGAAGGTCTGGATATTTGGGAAATTCAAGTTTGATATTCAGAAAATCCATTTTTAAAAAAAATATATGCATTTGGAACCTTTTAGGAGCGACGTACCGAACTTCACAGTTCGTTCTTTTATAATAATTACAAAGCAACAATTTTTCCAGTGCTGCCGTAGAGAGAGCATTCAAAGACGACATTTACGTCGAGCTTCACAGTTTTCCTGCTCCCAACGTGGCGAGGTAAAGAATAGAGAGTCAAGCTTCATATAATCACTTCTGTTTAAAGGACTGTCGTTGCAACTTTTAATAATGGTATGCCCGACTCACGGCAATGTGACATTTCATTGATAGGTAATTTCATAGATAGGACATTTTATAGATAGGACATCTCATAGATAAGAATTTCATAATTAGGAATAATTGAAAGACATTTCATAGACGGACATTTCATAGATAGGACATTTCATAGATAGGACATTTCATAGATAGGACATTTCATAGATAGGAAATTTCGTAGATAGGACATATCATAGATAGGACATTTCAAAGATAGGACATTTCATAGATAAGACATTTCATAGCTAGGACATTTCATATAAAGACATTTCATAGACGGACATTTCATAGATAGGACATTTCATCGATAAGACATTTCATAGATAGGACATTTCATATTAAAGACATTTCGTAGATAGGAAATTTCATAGATCTGACATTTAATTCATAGGACATTTCATAGATATGAAATTTTATAGAAAAGACATTTCATTGATAGGGCATTTTATAGATCAGACATTTCATAGGACATTTCATAGTTAGGAAATTTCATAGAAAATACATTTCATAGACAGAGAAAATTTTTCATGGACAGAGGAGATTTTTTTTATTTTAAATCTATGAAATGTCATTTTCTATGAAATGTCTTTATATATGAAATGTCCTATCTATGATTTTGTTATCTATGAAATGTCACAACGCCATGATTCACAATGGTACCCATAATTAGGAAATACCGTCGTAAATACTAGCTTTTAAAGTGATTAATTCTAACAATTTCTTCCATACTAAGTTATCTAGTCAATTGTTATTTCAAAAGCTTTTATAATTTTTTCTCCCCTTCGTGGATAATTTTGCAACAATCTAACTCTTGGGATGTAAATAATAAAAATATGTAAACCTCTGTTTAGTGGAAGTTTTGTGTGCGACGTTGATCTTAAGTTAGGCCATGACTGGACACCAACTAAACAGGTTAAATTTGTTTGAAAAATTAAAACCGCATTTTTTGAAATATTTTTATTTTCAGGAGATGATGGTTTTTTCTTCAATAATGCACAAGTAGGTTTTTATTTAGTATTTTAAAAACTGTTTCCTAAGTTAGGTAATACCGAAATCCAAGATTTCTCTTTCTGAGAATTTATTTTAAAATTGGTGGATTATCTATTTCTGTTCCTGCATTTGTTTACTTTAGACTGGCAGAGGAAAACCTACCCTTTGAGCGGCTAGTGGTTGACCCTAAGCTGGCAGCAGAGATGTTTAAAGATAACAAATATAAATCGGCTCAGGTTCATAATTATAATGATGATGATTATAATGATAATGATAATGATAATGTTGATTATAATAATGATAATGATGATTATAATAATGATAATGATGATAATAATAATAACAGGGGACAGGAGACGTAACAGGGAACAGGGAATTGGGGCAGGGGACTGGGGACAAGGACAAGGACAAGGACAAGGACAAGGACAAGGACAAGGACAAGGACGGGGGACGGGGGACAATGATTACAGAATTTAACTGGTACGAATTGGTAGATTAACATATGGTAATATCAATAACTAGTAATAAATATTTACATGGAAATGAAGATATTTATATTCAAGGAAATTAAAAGTAAGAAGACAATATTAATCAGTAATATAAGTTACCAGTACACATACAAATCAATGTAGAAAGAGGGAAATTGCATAAAAAAATCACAAATATGTAAAATATGTTACATGTATTTTTTTTTGGAAAACGTTCGTTTCGTTTTTTTAAACATGATTTTTTCATCGTTAAGAAAAGAAAACGATTTGTTGAAAACGATCGTAATTGGTTACTATCGTTTTTGAAAGGGATGAAACTAAGTTATGATAGTTTTCACAATACCACCATTCTTTAAGGTTGACCATAATACTTACGCTTTTCATTTTTTATTCCACTTCAAAAAAAAAACCCCATCCCCTAATTTGCCAGTTTGGACAATTTACAGATAGTTATTAAAAAAAACGAAACGATTCTTGTAAAAATGATCGTTTTGAAAACATTAGTTTTAGAATTAAAACGAATGTTTTGGAATGAAAACTATCGTTTTGGATTGAAAACTATCGTTATGAAATGAAAACTATCGTTTTGAAAAATTGGAAAAGTGTAATATATTGCATGTTTAGATCCCAAATATTGCGGAGAACTACGAAAATAAGATAACATTATATAAGGTATAGCATTAAATTAAGAAGAAATTTTTTTTTAATGTTAATTGTTTGCTTTTCTCTTTAAAAATGTACAATAGAAATCATAGAGTTCGACCTGCTTTTTTGATTTCATAAGCATTTAGAAACATTTCTTTTCCCAATTTTAATAGCTTGTAATTTTTAATATTTAGTTTATTAAATAGAGTTAAAGCTTAAAATTGTTTCTCCCTGTATCAGTTTTTTTTTGCTTTTTAGAAGGCCTTCAAATGTAGTTGATGATAATTCACTCATTCATTTTTTAAATGAGTTAATTTTTTAGATTTGATGAAATAAAACATTAATACTTCTTTTAGATTGGAGATCACGTGGATATTTCTGGTGGTCCCATGGTCGGCAGCACCAAATTCTTAGGTAAATGGTACTTTTTATTCTTTATTTTGTTATTCGTCAATTGGTCCGATCTATATCTTCTAAATTCATTTACTTCGTTTATTTCGCCATTTTTTAAAATTGTTATTTTTTATTTTTGCAAATAATCGGTTTGTTAATTTTTAATTTGTTATTTGTTCAGTTTTTATTTATTCAAATCATTGATTTTTCACTTATTCAGTTCGTTGATTTTTCATTTAGCTATTTATTTAATTTGTTCTTTATTCATATCGTTGATTTTTCACTTATTCAGTTCGTTGATTTTTCATTTAGTTATTTATTTAGTTTGTTATTTATTCATATCGTTGATTTTTTTTAATTTCTCAGTCATCTAATATTTATTAATTATAGTCACGTGTGTTAATTCTTAATGTTTTATTTTTTTGATATTTTTATCTGAAAATGACGTTTTCAATGACAGGTTAATTGCGGAAATGTTTATCTTTTAGTAATAAAAATTATGATAATAATAGTTGCTAAAATGTTTGATTAAGTGCTGAAAAGTGAAAGGTTTTGTCAAATTACTTTCGATAAATTTTTTAATATTTTGATTGGCTGATCGAACGATTAGTCAAACAAACTAGTTCATTGATTGATTGATTGCTTGATTTATTGATTGCTTGATTTATTGATTGCTTTATTGATTGATTGATTAAGACGAATGTATTTTCTGTTTTCAGGGCGAAGATGTACAGTGCCCGTTGCCCACAAAATATCACATAACAATGTATCTATGTACAGATTCCAGGTACAGTAGTCTTTCTTTACGGCGTACAGTTTAGTGTACAATACAGTGCAGTACAGTACAAAAGCCTTTAAGGTACTGTAAACTGCAATTTATCCATTTTTTATATTTCCCTGGGGTACAATTCGATCATTTTCAGATTTTATTTACGAGGTCTTATCATATTTTTACTTCAGGGTGTAGCACTGCCAAAGGATATGTACCTGAACCACGTGGCTTTCCACATACTGGAGGAGAGAGCAGCTCAGCTCAACCCTGCAGGATTACATACAACTCAACCTGTAAATCTTAGTTAAACCTCATCCTCCCATTCTGCAAGATGACATACAACTCGACCTGTAAATCTTAGTTAAACCTCATCCTCCCATTCTGCAAGATGACATACAACTCGACCTGTAAACCTTAGTTAAACGTAAACCTCTTCCTTCCATTCTGCAACTCAACCTGTAAACTCAACCTCATCCTTACACCTGTAAACCTTGGTTAAACCTCCACATTTAAAACCTAGACATTTTGGCTAAATAACTTCCATCTAATCAATGAAAATACAGCTTTAAGATCAATGGAGAGGGGTATTCCTGTTTCAGAACAGTATTCTTTTAACGTTAGTTTTGTCTGAGGAAAAATGAAGTTAATATCATTCTTTTTCTTTCTAAATTTTACAACTTTTATTTGTGGTTTCTCTGAGTATTTTTTTGCAGCAAACTAACTATGTTATTTGCAGTGTTTAATACTTGTAATCTGGAGAAAACGACGATATCTCCCTAATATTGTTTAGATGCAGGTTAAATGGTACTGTTGTGAATCAGGCAGGCTACTCTATAAAGAAATGGTGTCCTAAAATAATGTGTTTAGTCCCTTGAAAACCAAGTGTGTTCATATGAAGTAATTTTGTCTCAATGCTCATACAAAAAGGTCAAATTTGTTGGAATAATATTAACATTCTTATTGATATTGTATTAAATACTCAATTTACTTCTACAATTAAAGTGAATTACAATTTAAACAATCGTATTATATCCAATAAATTTCCTTGTAATTAATAATTTTATTGATGTGAAATCATAAATAAACGTTAATATCACAATTTAGTTATTTTCCTCCGTTGTTTCAGATTAAAAATGTTGACCTGCTGCCTCTGTGGTATTTTGATAGAAGAAACGTTTATTAATATAGACGATAATACCCGGGAGGGGGCAACCTATATACAACTCTTGGATCAGGTGCTGAATCATCAATTGGTCCGTTGATGGATTGATCTATAGATTGATCGATGGTTTGATCGATTCATTGATTGTTTGATTATGGGATTGATGGGTTGATTGATCAAGGAATTAATTCCTTTGGTAGTTAAAGGATTTAGTAATTGATGGTTTGACTGATAAGGTAATCCATCGATTAATGGATTGATAGAAAGATGGTATTATCGATTAAGTAATAAGTGGATTGTTGGTTTGATTAATTAAGTAATTAGAGATTGATTGACAAAGTATTTTATGGATTTAATGCTTTGATTGATTAAGTATTGAATGTATTGATGGTTTGATTGATTAAGTAATTTGCGTTTTTATGGGTTAATTGATTAAGTAATTGATAGTTAGATTTAAGTAATTAATTGATTGATGTTTTTATTGAAAAAGTTATTAATGAATTGATGCTTTGCTTGATTACGTAATTGATGGTTTGATTGATTTAGTAATTGATAGATTGATGATTTGATTTATGAAGTAATTAATTGATTTATGGTATTGATGAATTGATGGCTTGATTGATTGATAGATATATTGAGCAAGTAATGGATTAATGATTTGATAAGGAATTAACGGATTTATAGTTGGATTGATTATGTAATAGATGGTCTGATTGTCAAAATAAGTTAGATAAATGCGGGAAATGCCATGTTGAAGTAACAAAAAAAAAAGTACACAGGGTGGCATATACTAAATATATTTTTGACAAAATACCTTTCAGGTAATAATTATTAAAAATTAAAATATTTAAATGATAGACAATCGACACTGACTTATATTTACAATGACGAGCTTACATTATACCCTGTTATTAATTTATCTTGAAATTCTTGAAAACCAGGGGCGTATTGGAGGTTTAGTCTAGTAGGGGGCACTTTTTTAGTTGACCCGCCTAGCGGTTGTTGCTAAGTGTTCACTCCCTATAAACCCGGTATTAAAAAATAGAGTTTATATTCATTACAAATGGCTATTAACTTAAAATTGATAAATTGTCAATTGTTCAGAAAATGAATATATATGAAAATTTAATACACTGGGTTTTGGGTCTCAAGGGGGAAACTGCAGGGTTCTCGTCCCCCCCCCTGCCCCAATACGCCCCTGATAAAAAACCACTTCAGTCGAGATGAAATAAGATGAAAAAATGATATTGAGTTTTATTGTGTTTTATTCTGTTTTATTGGGTTTTATTGTGTTTTATTGAGTTTTATTGTGTTTTATTGTGTTTTATTATGTTTTATTGTGTTTAATTTTGTATTATTATGTTTTATTGTGTTTAATTTTGTTTTATTATGTTTTATTGTGTTTTTTGTTTTTTATTGTGTTTTATTGGGATTTTTAAGCTCTAGCCTCTTTTGGGTTTTTAATTTGAAATTAGTTAAAACTACTGCTTCATACTGATTCATAATTTAAGAAATAGGTGAACTTTTTAGTTCTGAAGAATAATAATGTTGTGATAAAAGGCTACAATCATGTACAACAATATCACCTTCCTTCATCGAAGAGGGAATACTGAATTTTTTATATTATAGTTCTATAGATTTTAGAAGAATTCTATTTTCTGACTCGGATACATATTTCTGATTGTGGGTGGGGCTACTCGGATTGATCAGTAGATATTTATATGCTCATGAAGGAAGACCACTGTTAAATACCGAAAAACATCAGCTCATTCAAATATTAAAATGACAAAGGAATTTTATATCCTTGTCCTATCGCAACAAATTTTGAAAGCTCTTCTTGGTTTTTTTAATATCTTTGAACAAGCACTGCAGATGATCGATTTCTGTAAACGTTTTCTACAATTGGATTTGTCTGGTCTAAAACTTGCAACCAAGACGTCCAAAGTGACAAGGTTTTGAAATTGAATTAAAGTAGATTAATGAAATTTTGTTTAAGTAACTCAAAATTTGAGCAATTTTTTATTTTGTTAAGATCATTGGTTCAAGTCATAGGAAATGAATAAATGTGTCAGTACTCCTAAAAATCAACACAGTTGATAGTACACCTTATTTCCTGAAGACTTCATCTTTATAAGAGTGAAGAAAAGGCAATAATTAGAAAAAATTTTAAAAACCACAAAAAAAGCCTACTTACTGGTGGTTTTAAAAGTGGGTTTTATTGTTTTTTTTTGGGTGTTTTTTATGCTAACCCTGATTTCTACAGTGAGAACCCGTAAACTGAAATAAGGCTTCCTATTCCACTTTTTTCTGGTTCACACTTCCCTTTCTCTTTAACATAATATAACCTGGAACAGTGTACACACAAAAATTATATGCTATCAGAGCCTGAATTTTAAGAGAATATCGTTGAACGAAACTCTTGAGTTTCCTCATTGTGTCTTTTGCGGTCTGCACAGTTGCGTAGATTTAAATTAAACAATCGGAAAACAAAAAAAGAACAAAAAGAAACCGTATAGGAAATGATATTTTTTACCGCAAATATTGGTATCCACCAAACGGCCTGACCCCATTCATGAAACCGGGTTTATGATACTGGGTTTTTATTACGATACTCTATTTCAAGTTTTGGGCTCTGAAATTATTTAATTAATCTTTCTTTTACACACTAAAATTCAAATTTTACCAAGGTGAGCAAAGTTTTGATTTTTCTTATTTTTAAGTTGAAAGTTTTAATCTTTATTTGTTCTTTAGATTCTCGAAGGAGAGGAGAAAGATCTTTTAAATCTTCTGGGTTCAGGTTAGTTCAGAATTAGTTGACTCGAGAATTATTTTTTTTTCTGAAAAAAAATACTCTTTAAAGGGACTGTAAGCGTAATTTCAAGTGACCCTCAATTTCTAAGATGGCAATGTCCGATTTGCAACGGTACCCTTGAAACCTTATTTCATCAAAAAGGGGGAAGATATCGTTGTTTTTCTGTGACTTTCTCAATTGATTCAAGTTCTTATAAACAAAAAATGCTCAAATTACTTCTGAAGAGAAACCCCGCATGAAAATAAACAGTTTAAAGGAACAACTACATCGATATCTAATTCATATCAGATAGAGCTTTAAAGGGTACCTTTGTAAATCGTGCATTACTCTCTTTGTATGGAGGGTCACTTAAAATTACGCTTACAGTCCCTTTAAAATGTATATTTTTGCGAATTATTGAACAAGGCTACTTTTAAAATTAGTTTGTTAAGTAATGCTTTTATTTTGTTGTCATTTAAATTTTTTTTTTTTCAAAACAAAATTAACCATTCGAAAAAAGATATGATTTATAGGAGAATTGTGCCAGGCTTGTGTTGAAATCCTCGAATCTATTCAAGATTTTTACCAGAAAATCAGGTTGATCATTTTTATCATCAATATCAATTTTATTAAAATGAATTTTTATATTAATGAAACAATATAACAAACAATATTTGATTAGAAAGCTGAATCTAAGAATAATGGTATGCAACAACTATATAACAAACAATATTTGATTAGAAAGCTGAAGCTAAGAATAATGGTATACAACAACTATATAACAAACAATATTTACTTAGTTAGATGAAGCTAAGAATAATATCAGAACAACTTTATAACAAACAAAATTTAATTAGATAGATGAAGCTAAGAATAATATTAGAACAACTTTATAACACACAATATTGAATTAGATAGATGAAGCTACGAAAAATATTAGAAAAATTTTATAACACACAATATTGAATTAGATAGATGAAGCTACGAACAATATTAGAACAACTTTATAACAAACAATATTGAATTAGATAGATGAAGCTACGAATAATATTAAAACAATTTTAAAACAAACAATATTTACTTAGTTAGATGAAGCTAAGAATAATATTAGAACAACTTTATAACAAACAATATTGAATTAGATAGATGAAGCTAAGAATAATATTAAAACAATTTTAAAACAAACAATATTTACTTAGTTAGATGAAGCTAAGAATAATATTAGAACAACTTTATAACAAACAATATTTACTTAGTTAGATGAAGCTAAGAATAATATTAGAACAACTTTATAACAAACAATATTGAATTAGATAGATGAAGCTAAGAATAATATTAAAACAATTTTAAAACAAACAATATTTACTTAGTTAGATGAAGCTAAGAATAATATTAGAACAACTTTATAACAAACAATATTTACTTAGTTAGATGAAGCTAAGAATAATATTAGAACAACTTTATAACAAACAATATTTACTTAGTTAGATGAAGCTAAGACTAATATTAGAACAACTTTATAACAAGCAATATTTACTTAGTTAGATGAAGCTAAGAATAATATTAGAACAACTTTATAACACACAATATTGAATTAGATAGATGAAGCTAAGAATAATATTAGAACAACTTTATAACAAACAATATTTACGTAGTTAGATGAAGCTAAGAATAATATTAGAACAACTTTATAACAAACTAGTTAGATGAAGCTAAGAATAATATTAGAACAATTTTAAAACAAACAATATTTAATTAGATAGATGAAGCTAAGAACAATAACAGGATATAAAAATTTTATTTAAAATAATTTTTGATTTAAGAGCTTAAGATAAGAATAATAACAAGATATAAATTGTAACAGACAAGATTTGATAAGAGAGCTAAAGCTGAGAATAATAACAGGATATAACAACTTTATAAATTATAGCAAACAGTATTTTATTAGAAAGCTGAAGCTAAAAATAACAGGATATACCAACTTTATAACAAACAATATTTGATTAAGAGAGCTGAAGCTAAGCATAATAACAGGATACAACAACTTTGTAACAAACAATGGATCCTTGACCCAGCAACACTCAATAGAACCTCAAAATTACCAAGAGGTAAGTGACAGTACACCTAAAAAATATTCATNCCCCCCAACCGCCACAAACGTTTTTCCCGCAAACTTTGAATACTCTACTTTATTTCTTGATTTAAGGGACTGTAAGTGTAATTTTAAGTGACCCTCCATGCACAATATGGTGAACCCCATTCACAATAGTACCCTTAGAAGCTTTGTCTGATAATGTATGCATTTAGACATCTATGTTTATCATTTTTAAAAGTGATTATTTTCTATTGTTGTTTCTCTACAAACTTAACTTGCGGATTTCTACTGTAGGAAAATTTTTAAACAATTATCAATATCAGAATTGAACACTTTAGATTCAGAAAAAGTACAATATGTTTCACATTCACATTGATCAAATAAAAGTTTTTAAGGATACAGTTGTGAATCAAGCATTGCCATCTTTTCGAGGAGACTCACTTGAAATTACAAAAACAGTCCCTTTAAAACATTCTTTTTGGTATTTTTTCTCTAGACTCTCTTTACCTATTTTCATCTTTAATTTACTATAATCTTTAATCTCCATTCTACTTTCTGAATGAACTGAAATAAATATGAATATATATTTATATAGATATGTAGGTGGATATTTTTGAAACATTTTTGTCTTTAATTTGTCAGGAGGGGTCCTTGGATGAACAGGAGGGACTCATGAAACAACAGGATAATGAGTTGATCCTTGAACAGGAATTGAATAAAGAACAGGAGAGAAAAACGCAGGAGGTGTTAAGTAAGAAACAGGAGCTTAATATTAGTCAGGAGGTCAACATAATTCAGGAGGTGAACACTGAACAGGAATTGAATACTGAACAGGAGCAATTCTCTGAACAGGAGCAAAACACAAAACAGAAGCTGAACTCTGAACAGGAGCAAACGACAGAGCAGGAGCTGAACACAGATCAGGATCTGAACCCTGAACAGGAGCTGATCTCTCAACAGGATATAAACTATGAACAAGAGTTGGATTCTGAACAGGAGCTTGGGTTTGATGGTAGAGTTGTGATAAAGCGGGATGTTAGGAATGATAAATTATAATCTAAGGACGGCTGCGTAAAGAAAGTCAGGGGTCTTCATTTTCTAAATCTTCTCATCATAACAGGATTTAATTAAATAATATTTCAAAATTTTCCTGAACTTAAAAAAAAATTATTTTGATTATTACCCCTAAGAGATTCTAGCATTAACAAGGCTATTCTACAATATTCATTCATTTTGAAATAACGCTGGTAAAAACTAACATTAAGAATGATTTATTTTAAGTAAGAAGGAGAACGGTTGGGGGGAGGGGGGGGCAGAAAATGAACAAGAAAGAGAAACTTTGGAAGATTTTGCAAGATTCATATTCCATAATTTACAACTCATTCACAGTCTTTTGTTGGAAACTGTCAAGAAACCAGAAGAAAATGTCTATTGTAATATTAGATATTTATTATACAATCATATCTTTATCTTTCATTGTTTCTTTTTAGATCTTTATTGTAAAGGAATTGATTCTTTGCCACAATCTATGATTTTATAACACATTATCTTTGCAGCTTAACGTAGACCTTAGATATTTCAAACTATGAATTATGTTGGATCAAATAATCTAAATCTGAAATAGTAAAGTTTTACATCTTCAGTTTGCAAAGTTATGATAAAAAATAGTAAAGGGACTGTAAGTGCCATTACCATTGATCCTCCGGCTTTCGTACAAAGATGACAAAACTAATTATTTTCAATTGCTATTTCTCTACAAAAGTGACTTGCGCCTTTCTACTGCAGTAAAACATACCTGGCTGGGAAGCAGTCAGTCATAATAAATACGAAAATAATCAGTTTTTAAACCTTGAAAATTAAAACCCACAAAATTATTTCCTATTATTGATTAAATAAAGGATTCTCAAGGGTACTATTCGGTAATTTCCATCTTTGCTTGGAGGGTTACTTGAAAATCTTTTCTTAGAAAACTTTGCAGAATTCTAATATTTCCATAGTTCAAGCAGTACCTAGGATCCTGGATCAATTTATTTAAGATTTTATGTTTTTTTTAATAGAAGAAGGATTTTCGAATAATTTTTCTTAATTTTTTTTACTAATTTTTATGCAACAACTTGATGAACCATTCAAAAATAAGAACATTTTTTGATGATCTCTCTTTTTTGAACAGTTCAGATTTGAGTTTTGAGAGCAATAGAGTTTTTTTTGCAGTTTTTAATTGATATTTTGCGGATTCGTGGATCCGCATATTTTTGCGGATCAGGATCCAGAAATCCAAAATGTTTGGGATCCTAACAATGGTATCAAATTGTTTAAAAGGTATTTTATGCTGAAAAGTAAAAGTAATAAAGTCTAGAATCCACTCAACCTTTAAAGGCCGATGAATTCCTGTAAAACATTTACATAAATATATTTGCATTTATTTGGATTAAAATAGAAATATAAAACGTGATTCTCAAAGTTCTAGTTCAAATGTTTCTCTTAAAAAATATACAAATATGAAAATATATTTATAGAAGATTGAAGACAATTACAAGAATTGTTTAAAGAAAATGGATTAAAATTGATCAAGTGTAAAATAAAAGTAAAACGCTAAATTCTGCACAAAGGAAAATAAAAGATAAATGGGGGGAAGTCAAAACCTTTTAAGAGAAATGTGCCGTGAAAAAGGGACAAATTCAAGTATTTGACAAAATAAAGGAAAAAAGGAAATATTATGTAGTTGAAAAAGTATTGTACTTGAAAATGTTAACAAAGTAAAAACACGAAAGTGGAAAGTGATAAAATGTTTGTGTCACAACCATAAAATGAGGATATTAAACTTAGATAATCTTATTCTAGATGGAAATCTTTAGAAAGAAGGTGGTGTTGGGGGTGTAGGGGGGGGGGGGGGGGGGCGGAGAGGAAGGTGCCCAATATTGTTAAAGGTAAAGAAATTAAATGAAAACCAAAGAAATTGGTTTGAAAATTTGGACAAATAATAGAATACATGAATATGATAGAAACTGTAATCGGAACAAAACTAAGGCCAATTTTATAGAAGTAATGACTCAGGGATTTTCAAAGAGAATTTATATGAATATCTTCTATATAATAAACCAAGACATTCGTATATACTATATATATATGTTGCTATACAAAAATACAAAAATCAAGTACCGTGCTGAGTTTCTTTGGGTTGAACCGTAAGCACATCTACTCTCATTCCTTCTCATGATGAATCAAAACACAGGAAAAGGCTTCAAGTTTTATTGTGGAACAGTACTTCAGTCTAGTAAAATAAAACTTTTTAAGATCACAGAAAAAGCATTGACGAGCATAATATAAACCATTTCTTATCAAACAAAGGTATTATACCCATCAGGCATTAAAGAACTGTAATCAAGCCAATACTCATAAAGTATAACACAAAAGAATATTTTAGTATTTATAATCATAATTACCACAGTAGTCCACTGATTTCAGCACGATAATAATCAGGAATACATTCTGTAATATAACTAACTTTTAAAATCGACGAATATTCTGCAAAACTGTAAAAAAGAACACAAGTCCACTGCTTCTGCGCAGTATGCAAATGCTCTCGGCAGAAAACAGGTTCTTTATTTCCAACTCCTTCTAGAAAACACATGTACAGAACATCTATATAGTACAGGGGAGAATAGTTCCTCCCCACAAAACAGGGATATTTCACGGACCCTATCTACGCAGCGTAACAGTTGTGTAAAGCCAGCTAAACGGCTCGATCGATTGGGACACTCAGGATTTTCTTGCTTTCTTGCAAAAATTTCGACTGGAAACCCTAATATTGAACTAACAGATATATTGAATATTGTAAGAATATCATTATGTAAAGAAATATTGAACTAATAGACACATTAAATATTGCAAGAATATCACTATTTAAAGGAATCTTGAACTTACAGAAATATTGAATATTGTAAGAATATCATTAGCTAAAGGAATCTTGAACTAACCGATATATAGAATATTGTAAGAATATCATTATGTAAAGAAATATTGAACTAATAGACACATTAAATATTGCAAGAATATCATTATTTAAAGGAATCTTGAACTTACAGAAATATTTAATATTGTAAGAATATCATTAGCTAAAGGAATCTTGAACTACGAATATATTGAATATTGTAAGAATATCATTATGTAAAGAAATATTGAACTAATAGACACATTAAATATTGCAAGAATATCATTATTTAAAGGAATCTTGAACTAACGGATATATTGAATATTGTAAGAATATCATTATCTAAAGGAATCTTGAACTAACGGATATATTGAATATTGTAAGAATATCATTATCTAAAGGATTCTTGAACAAACAGATATATTGAATATTGTTAGAATATCATTTTCTAAAGGATTATTGAACTAACGGATATATTGATTATTGTAAGAATATCATTATCTAAAGGATTCTTGAACTAACGGATATATTGAATATTGTAAGAATATCATTATCTAAAGGAATATTGAACAAATAGATAGACGGAAAGGGAGGAAACTGCTTAAACTGGAGCAAGAGGAAGAAAACTTTAAAATATATTCTGTTAGGTAATAATAAAGCTTTTCTAGTTTAAATTATTTGTTTGGAATGAAGAGCATGTGGTAAAGATTAATTTAACTTATTTGCAAATCTTTTTTGCGATTTTACGCAGCACAAACAATAAGAAAAATATCAGAAAGCAACTCTTTTTTAGATAAAAAACTAATGGTCAGTTATGAGTTTAATATGATACTCTTTAATTGGAGGGTCTACACTACACAGTCTTAGCTAAATGCTAAATGTCAAAAGAAAATGTGTGTTCATGTTTAGTTATAGTGATAATAGTTCTCCAGCTCCTATTTCCATGTCAACGTCAAGCTTAATCTATCAAACGCAGAAAAGAAGCAACACCATTGATATTGTTCTAGGAAAGTATTCATGATTTATTGTTGTGTTGTTCTATTTTTCTTAAACTTTTTTTAAATTTTCCATAAATCTCTGCTTTGGGTAGTTCAAAACCAGTATACGCTTTGTGTGATGTCCAAGTGATCATTTTCTAAAAAAGCTCTTTTGAGATCTATTTTAAAATCTAAAAAAACATGATTATTTTTCTCCAGAATCTTGTGATATGTTTATTGAATGTTGTTTGCATATAAAGATATGCAGAGTATCGTAAATTATCTTTTTTTAAGCCATTGACCCTGTGCATTTTTTTAAATGTAGTTTTATGAAAGTGGGTCAAAGCAAATATTTATTTTTGCATAGAATAAAAATAGTCTAAAATTTAGCTGTAATTGTGTTTATAAAGAAAATTTAAAAAAAGATTGCTGGGGACAAATTTGACATACTAGAGAAGTTTCTGTTTGGGTTTCCAACGCAAGTGGATTTTACTTGCGCGCAATTGCGAGCCTTGTAAACTGCACGCAATTCCGCACAATTCCGTCCAATTCAGTGCCAATTCTGCGCGATTCCGCGCAATTCTGCCCAATTCCACGCAATTTGAGAAGCGTTGCGTGAAATTCCGCGCAATGGAATTCCGATTGGAAACCCTAGCTTCTATCAATTCAATCAATACTTGATTATTAGAAGAAACGCAAAGTACAGAGTTGACAATGTTGTCAATAGATCTGGAAAAGGAGATTTGGTCAGCCTTATTCTCCGTCAATCCAAGGGTAATTTAATTTTTTTATTTCTCATGTTAGTTGTTGGTTTCATGTATATTGTTCTAAAGAAGGTATAACATAAATTGAAGCGAAATATTTTTTGTTTGGTTTTCTTAGTCTCATCCCTTGGGTTAAGATTGGTTCCTCTCTCTCATTGATTGATTGCTTGCTTTGATTGTTTTGATTGTTAAGGATAAGGAGAGTCTAGCCACGTGTTGGAATGAAATCTTACTTCCGGTTCTTCAAGAGCAAATTCAGGTCTCAGGATAGTAGCAGAGATTTTTTAAAGAAGAGTCCTTTTTTAATATTAGATACTTTAAAAGAAGTAAATTTTAACGTTTTGATAGGGAAAATAATAATAATTTTATTTATGATGTGTTACTAATTGAAATGTACTCCAAAGCGTGCTATCCAATTAAAAAACAATGCTTCAGAACAATCTTTGGTACTAGTTGCAGAGAGAGGAATTGCTTCTAACCACCTAGTTGATCTGTCTATTATAGTGAATAGGTGTGTGAAACCATTGGAGGATGGTAAAGGTCCTACTATATCCACATGTATATGTGAAAAACGCCTAGGAGGAACCGGAATTTGCTGTATTTTAGATCTTGTATGTCTCTGTATCTTTCCTTTTTGGCAATCTGCGCAGCTTTCGCACCACAGTTTCACATCACTGTTGAGTTTTTTCCAAACAAATCTTGCAGAAATCATCCTTCTAGTAGCTCTGATCCCAGGATGTGAAATTTTATGGAGGGCAGAAAAAACTTCTCTTTTCATTGTATCTGGTATCAGAGGTCGTGGAGTTCCAGTGGAAACATCACATAATAATTCTACATTCTGAACTGGAAGATTAACTACTTTCAGGTTAGCAGAAGAGATAAGTTGTAGAACTGCTGGGCAGATCTGTTGCTGGGCTGCTAACTGCTGATAGTTTATTCCGGGTGGAGGGTTTGGTACTGTGACTGCATATATGTGTGCAAAGGTTTGGGGCAGAGAATTCACAGCCGGGATCTTCTCTGATTCAATCTCAGGACTTAAGTTTGGTCTTGACATAGTATCTGCCACTACGTTCTCCATTCCAGGTATATGGCGAATATCTGAAGTGTATTCAGTAATAAAACTCAGTTGGCGTGATTGTCTTGAAGACCAAGGCGGAGATACACGGCGTATTGCCTGTGTTAAGGGTTTGTGATCAGTCAAAATGTGAAATTTCCGCCTTTCCAACATGTAACGGAAATGGCGGATGGCGAGGTACGTAGCTAACAATTCTCTGTCAAAAGCTGAGTATTTAGATTGTGTTGAATCCAACTGTTTTGAATAGAAAGAAAGAGGACTCCAACCTCCATTCTGATATTGCTGTAGTACTGCTCCAACATGTGTATCTGATGCATCTACAGCTAATGAGAGTTCTGCAGATGGGTTTGGATGGTTGAGCCGTGTATCTCTTATTAGTGCTTGTTTGGCTGCAGAGAAAGCTGCATTCATAGATTCAGACCAAACAAAAAACTTTGGAGACCCTTTGAGGGCAGTAGTCAATGGTTTGAGAGTTTTGGCGATGTTTGGTAGAAATCGGCGATAGAAATTAATCATTCCAAGGAATCTCTGTAGTTGTAGAACATTGTTAGGCGGAGAAAAATTCTGGATTGCTGATACATGTTGAATTAAAGGTTCAATGCCAGAAGCAGAAACTCTGTGTCCAAGGAATTCAACTTCTTGAAGTCCAAATCTGCATTTGGAGAGGTTGAGGATTAGTCCAAAATCCTGCAGTCTAGAGAGAACTGTATGAACATGACGGTGGTGAGAAATTTCATCTGGACTGGCTATTAAGATATCATCCAGGTAGATAAAAACAAAATCCATNGGTGAGCAATTTCATCTGGACTGGCTATTAAGATATCATCCAGGTAGATAAACACAAAATCCATTCCTGCACCAAATCTATCCATCAACCTTTGAAAGGTTTGTCCAGCGTTTGTTAAACCAAATGGCATTTGAAGGAACTCATACAGACCAAAAGGTGTGATTACGGCGGTTTTCTGGATATCTCGGCGATTAACAGGTACTTGGTAATAACCCTTCTTCAGGTCTAGTTTACTGAAGATGGTGCAGCCATGTAAACGAGCAGTCAAATCTTGCATATTAGGTATTGGATATCTGTCAGGTTTGGTAATGGTGTTCAAACAGCAGTAATCGACACATGGTCGCCATGTGCCGTCATCTTTCTTTACCATGTGAAGAGGAGAAGCCCATGGAGAATCAGATCTTCTCACAATACCTTCTGCTTCTAATTTATCAAACTCTGCTTTAGCCTCTGCTAGTCTATCTGTATCTAATCGGCGGGCTTTTGCAAAAACTGGCGGTCCTGTGGTTTGTATATGATGATACACTCCATGACTAGGGTTGCAGTTTGTTTTTGTTTTCTCATTTGTTACTCCAGGAAACCTTGCTAATATATCTCTATATTCCGTTGGAGTGTTTACCAAAGCAGTAAAAAACGGCGATTGGTTTGTAGGTGGAGCTGATGATGAAGAGATTATCTGTAGAGATGAAGCGTCTAGAACTTGTTTTCCAGCTACATCTACCAGTAGGTTAAATGTTTTGAGATTTTCTTCTTTATCTTCGAGCATTTCTTGGATTTATCCTCTCAGATTCCTGCTTCTACAATATATATATTAGCGAAGAGTTTATAATATACTAGCTGAAGGGCCCGGTGTTGCCCGTGAATTTTTTTTTAGCTTATAACACTTCCCGTCCACCCCTGAGTGTCAACAAAATTTTTTAGCTCAATCGGTCCAGCCGTTTGGCCGGCTATAGGCAACATATATAAATATACGAATGTCTTGTTTTATTATATAGATGTAGGAGATAACCGTCAACTTCTTCTCGTATGTTTCATTGGTCAAACCTGACTCTTGGCAAATAAGAGAGGAGAAAATGAGCTCAACCAATTTCATTCATTTTAGTTCCGTCGATTAAAAAGTTAACACCTCTGGGTTAAAAGTTACCACCTCTAGTTTAAAAGTTACCACCTCTGGTTTAAAAGTTACCACCTCTGGTTTAAAAGTTATCTATGTATGTAAATAGCTAGCTATATGGTTAAGGGGGGCTGTGTTAATTGTTTGAATCATCAGAAATCAGCATGTATAACCTCGATCTACTAGAAGTTATGCAAGAATCATTTAAGTTTTGGTTTGGTTGAAAATCATTTATTCAGTTCATTTCTATTTACAAAAAATAATTAGGTTAAATTCATTGTTTTGAAAGACAATAATCCTTTTAGATGAAATATAAACAGACAATCATGAAATAGCAGAAAACAATAACAAAAATATTTTGTTCTCAATTGGATTTCTCATTCCTCTTAACAAAGACTTTCAACAATGTTTTCGAAAAATAAAATTTGGATAAACAGGGCTCGAATTTAATGAATTTGAACTGCATATACCGCCGGTTCAAATCCTTTATTAATCTTTGGTGGTTAAAATTTAAGGTAGTTCAGCGAATTTGTTCAAATTTATTAGATTCTGTTTCTGTTCAATTAATAGCCTGCACCTTTAGAATATCCAGTTGCAGAAATAGCCTGCACCTTTAGAATAACCAGTTGCAGAAATATCCTGCCTAGAATTTCAGAAATAGCTTGGCCTAGAATGATCTATTTCAGAAATAGCTTGGCCTAAAATTATCTATTTCATAAATAGCTTGGCCTAGAATTATCTATTTAGAAATATCCTGACCTAGAATTATTTATTTCAGGAATAGTTTGGCCTAGAATTATCTATTCGAAAATATCCTGACCTAAAATTATCTATTTCAGAAATAACTTGGCCTAGAATTATCTATTTAAGAAATAGCGTGACCTAGAATTATCTATATAAGAAATAGCGTGGCTTAGAATTATCTATATAAGAAATACCGTGGCCTAGAATTATCTATATAAGAAATAGCGTGGCCTAGAAATCTATATAAGAATTAGCTTGGCCTAGAATGATCTATTTAAGAAATAGCTTGGACTAGAATTATATATTTAAGAAATAGCGTGGCCTAGAATTATCTATATAAGAAATAGCGTGGCCTAGAAATCTATATAAGAAATAGCGTGGCCTAGAATTATCTATTTAAGAAATAGCTTGGACTAGAATTATCTATTTAAGAAATAGCGTGGCCTAGAATTATATATTTAAGAAATTATATATTTAAGAAATTATATATTTAAGAAATTATATATTTAAGAAATTATATATTTAAGAAATTATATATTTAAGAAATAAAATATATAAAATACATTTATTTAGAAATAGCTCGGCCAACTTGTGACAATCCAACAGAAAGCCGACGATCTAGCAAGGAATACCAAATAATTTAGTATTCTTAAAGAAATTGAATCTTTGCCACAAACTCAATTACTATATCTTTGCAACCTGAAGGGGTAAACCTTTGAAATTTTAAACTTAGATTATTTGATCCAGCAGAATTAAGACTTTGAAATATTTAATGTCTACGACATTGGGTTACAAAGATAAAATGATTAGAAAATCAGAGTTTGTGGCAAAGACTCAATTCCTTTAAATCCATTTTTCTATAAATCATTTTACACAGTTTTGATCTTTAATTTTCTTTTTTTAGACTCAAGCAAAATTTATTGATACAATTACGCCCTTTTATATTCTAATAAAAATGAAATAAGAAAGTAAGGAATTTTTCATAACGGTTTTTATTTGAATTGTGACATTTAATCTTTTTTTGTTATTCCCATGATAAACTTTCTTTATTTTGATTTAAATCTTATATTTAATTCAATTTAATTCCAAACAAATCATTAAGATATTACAACCTATCATCATCGAATTTTAGTCGACGCAAATTGACATATAGTTTATACTTTTTAGTATTTTTTATTTGTTTTATATCCAATGCACTTAAAACGATTTTTTGTCCGCTAGTTGTCTCTCCCACGTGGAGCTATGCAGAAACATCGAGAGCAGAGACACCTGGCGGCAACTAATCGTCGTTTAAATTGCATAACAAATAAAGTAAATTAACAATGTTATGAAATGTCAACTACATACGAATGCGTCGAATAAAAATCGATGAGTATAGGTTGTAATATCCGAATGATTTGCTTGGAATTAAATAGATTTTTTTACGATCTGAGTCGAATATTGCAACTTTCTGATTTTGTGTGGACGCTACGTTCTCCGGTATGATTAGTTTTTAACAATTTTCTCCTTATACAGACTCAACAGATAGAAGTAAGATTAGTATCGATCACCATCGAATTTATTCGGCGTAAGCCTATACCCCCTTTTATTTTTCGCAAAACCTCCCTTTAAGAATAAAATATGAACAGTGTTTTCTAAAGTTTCATCATTTGTGGGTTACTGTATAGTAAATTTGACAACCACAAAAATATAATCAGCCTGGTTCCTTTTTTCTACGTTTTTTTTCTCCTTCATGAAACTGTCAAATTTTAAATCTAAGAAATGCTATTTTTCCAAAAAAATGTTGATTCTGCAATATTCGGTATTACAAGGATAAGTCCCATCCCTGTTCTCCTTCCAGTTCTCCTAAACATTCTCCATCAAGGATGGAACACAGTCCAACCAACCCCTTCCCTCTCCAGGCCGACAAGAACAAGTGTATCAAGTGCAGTACCTGCCCTGGAGTCCATAGTCCCGGATTACAGGGCGTCTCAGATCAAACCAAGTGTCCCCATAGTCCCAAAAAGTCTGAGAAACTTAGTCCAAGTGGTGCTCGTAGTCCATATAGTCCAACCGGTTCAGCCCATTATAAAATATCAAACAGCAAGCATAGTCCAACTTCTGCTAGTAAGCCCTCTACCTCCCCCGAGCAACAGAACTGTAAACATAATCTTAAACCTAGTAAACCACAGGAGAGCTCAGCTAAGAAGAGTCCTCTGTATTCAAAAAATAAACATCATACCAGGGACCGAATTTAATGAATTGGAGAGGTGGCTGAACTACCAATTACCGATTCAAATCCTCATGAGACCGAATTTTAAGAATTTGAGCTGCCTCGCTGAACTTCCTAAGTTACTGCCGATTCAGTTTTGAAGCACCAATTCAAAGTAAAAGCTTAAGGAATGTTTTGAATCGGTGGTTCAAATTTGATCCGTTGGTAGACAGTTCAGCCAGGTCTAGACCTGGCTTAAACCCTTTAAATTCGGTCTCTGAATCTTTAAGTTTGAATCTGTGATTAAAATTTGAACCGACATGTAGGTAGTTCAGTGACCTAGCTCAAGTTCATTAAATACCGTCCCAGAACTAGAGATTCGGAGAAACATCAGTCCAGATCCAACCCCAACAGCAGGGGTCAGTTTAAGGAGGAATGCTCGTCCAGGCACTTGTCAAGGGAGGATATCAGCGGGTCTTCTAGGTCTAGAGAGGGGGTGGAGAGAAGCCCTACTCTAGAGGGTTGGAGCAGGGATTTGACCAACTCTCATGAGAACATGAGTTTGTATCCTAGAGGTGCAGGAACCAGTGCTCGGAGGAAATCAGATAACCCCCTACACTACCAGGATACAGGTACATGCATACTTGGAGTCTAGGATACAGGTACATGCATACTTGGAGTCTAGGATATACTTACATGGTGTTAGGTACTTTCCCAAAAGGATTTTCCCAAATGAGCGATTTCCCAAGCGGCAACTTCCCAAAGGTTAGGTTAGGCCCTGTTCTGGAGTCGGCCAGTAAATACCCTACTCCAGAACAGTTTCTCTAGCACGTATCTATCCAGGTACAGTTCAGTTTCACTTACCTATCAATGTATTTTGATAAACAGGTTGAGGATCATGCCCTTTGATTTGGCATAGATAGTTACGACCTTCTGATTGATATCAATACCTATCAAGATTGTATCCGGGTTTAAACATTGATATCTGAGTGAAACTGAACTGTACCTGGATAGATAAGTGTTAGAGAAACTGTTCTGGAGTAGGGTATTTACTACATATATAGAATATTGGCATGGTCCTCCTCATGTATCAGATCTGATCAGATCAGAGCTAGGAACTTTTGTGTCAGATACTCATAATCCCAATCCCTTGATTTCGATATCCACTGTGGACACTATCATTTAGGGATCAATGCTTTATCAATTTCTTTTAATTAAACAAAATAAAAAAGTTCCCAGCTCTGATAAGATTTATCTTCATCCTTCTACAGATACGAATAAGTAGATTCTCTAGAGGTTAAGCAGTACATAACAGATGTTCCGTACGAAATACGATATGAAGGAAAAATATCTGATTTGTTTTTTTGTTTAGATGATAACTTTAAAATTAATTTTTAAATGAGTATGAATCAGATGGCAGAAGAAAGTTTCAGGAACAAACTTTTTTCATCGCAAGGAACTTAGATTTTGCCACAATTTTTTAATCTCTTTATCTTTGCAGCCCGATAATTCAAACTATGCATTCCGTTAGATCAAATAGTTTGAAATATAAAAGGTGTACACCATTAGGTTGCAAAGATATATGGATTAGATAATTAGAGTTTGTGTGGAAAAAACTGAGTTTCTTTTGAACCATGTTGTTATTATTACTGATATAATTGTATAGGAAAGATGAAGCACAGTTCCCCAGAATATGGAAATTTTCTAGCAATAGGTAATTTACCNGTAGGAAGCATTTATTTATTAATATGGAATCTGCAGATTTTTCTTATGAACTAATCTTCTTAAATCAGTAAATATCAATAAAACATTTCGAAAATGCATTTTTCTGAAAAAGTTTAATAAAGAAAAGTAATATCTAAAAATATTCTTGTTGTAGCAGCGTAGCAATTGCACTAATCTTAAAAGAAACGATTATATTCCAAGTCTATTGATATTAACATTATTATTAATATTATTACTTTTGATATTAATATTATTTAATCTGCTTGAAAAAAATGTCAAATCAACAATTAATTAAAAAGACCAATTTTATTTATAATAATTTGATTATTAATTTTAAGTAACCTTTAACCCCCCCCGAGTATTTTTGGCCTAGCACTCTCATTTTTGACACTATTACCATGACATTTTATCATATTTGACACTATTACCATGACATTTTATCATTTTTGACACTATTACCATGACATTTTATGACTTTTAATAAAAAAGAAATTTAATAGTTTTTCTTTTTAATAATACAGGGCCGTAAAAAGTCCGGTCTGTTAAAAAAAAATCTAAAATAGCTCATAATTTTTTTTTGACTAAAGCTACAGGTCTTAAAATTATATTTTTGAAAAGCCCTTGAAAAATGCGTCTAGAAACATGTGTCACACTTTGAATTTTTTTTTTTTTTTAATATTTTGTAACATTTTCCCCCTTTATTTGGCATTTTTTTCAACACTCCCCAGGACCCAAACAGTTAAAGATATCGGTCTTATTTATTTTTCAATGGACTGACCTTTAAAAATTGGGGTATACCCTAAGAAATTTTAAATTTTCTTCTAACAATATTTCATCGAACAACATTCATTTCAACCCTATACGACTTGTATTAAATAAACAGTGCTTCCCAAAATTGAATGATCAAATGGTAATAAAAGGTTGATGTGAAGACGACTTTTCTTTAATATGCAATCTATTTTTCAAGAAGCACTGTATATTTATGAAAAGTCATCATCACTTACCATATTATTTTGAGGAGCTCTGTATATTTATGAGCAGTCGTTTATGCTTGCCGGACCATCTTATTTTGGGGAGCACTGTATATTTATAAGAAGTTTTGAATGCTTGTTATTTTATTTTGGGAAGCACTGTATATTTTGAGAAGTCACCAATGCTTACCATTTTATTTTGGGGAGCACTGTATATTTATAAGAAGTTGTCTTCATTTACAATTTTATCAAGTATGATTAAGGTGAAGAAAAAGTTACAATTCTTTTTATAACCCAAATAGTCCATCAATAAAATCACCCCCCCCCCCCCTCCACGAAATTTTGGTTTATTTTCAAATCCCTTTTCCACGTACTGCACCTAATAACAATGATCAGTGTAGTTGATTAACCTAAATACACACGTCAGAATCTAGCGTACATTTTCCTCCATTTGTCCTGACGGGATTCTCTAAGGCCTTTTTATAGGGAGGGGCGTGGGACACTCCCCCCCAGACCATACATAGATTCAGACCCTCCAGCCAGGGTTAAATTAAGTTTGCTATTAACGATTCACCCTTATAACCTAGAAGGCCAGAGTTCATTAATAATGATACCATGGATTAGCTATTTTTATTCATATCTTCTAATAAATCTTTTTGAATTGGTGGCATTCTTTCAAAATTATGCTAACAATCCCTTAAAGGGACTGTTAGCATAATTTCAAGTGACCTTCCATGTAAACATTCACTAAGGTACCATTTAATCCTTTGACTGATGACTGATGAAGGATATCACTTGAAATTACGCTACCAGTCCCTTTAACCATATATATATTTCAGGGAAGGAGTGTCCTGATTTTAACAGGTAAATTCATACAGTGCGTCCCACAAAACATTTGTATAAACGGGATTATTTTGTGAACAAATTTACTGCGGGATTTAATCCAATTTTCATTTTTGTTTCAAGAAAAAAAAAGCGTTTGGTCAAAGACAAAATATTGTAAAGGATCCGGGTCTTTGTCACAAGTTAAAATTGTCTAGTTCCTTTATCTCAAGGTTATAATGCAAGGAAAATTATTTAAGAGGTGTACGCATCTTTTGTACTGCAGTGCACTGTCTCATGGGCGGTAATGTAAACACAAGACGGATGTCACAGTCTGACATGGGATCCATTTTTCACATAAAAAATCAATGAAATATTCTGGTCATAGGAAACTATTATGTGAATTATCAAAATGATCAAAATTTTATGCTTTCAACCTCCTCGGACACTATACAAACACTGATGCATCTATTCCAGAGAGAACTGGTTTCAATATTTACGAAAAGTATACGCAACTGCAATTAACTTTCCTTGCATTATAACCTTGTTTTATCTTAACAACCTACTGCTGTAAACCTTTTATATTTCAAACTTGATGATTTTATTTAATAGAATTCGTAGTTTTAGATATCTAAGGTCTACTTCATTGGGTTGCAAAGAAATAAGAAAATCAGAGTTTGTGGCAAAGACTCAATTCCTTAACTGCAATCAACTGATTTTCAACATTCTCTTTGATACTGCACATTTTAAGACCTATCAAAACATTGAAGATAAATTATACAATTTTAAAAGTATCTCACAAATTGTAATGTTAAATATAATATATACAATATTTGTAAATACATCAATAATTATTGACAAAACTCTCTGTGCTTGTTTTAAATTAATATTTTAATATTAAAAATAGAAAAGAATGAATAAGGGTTTAAAACTGCAGTTTTGTTTTTCGGGTAACTAAAACATTTATAGTTTAATTTGTTCAACATCTAATTAGACCAAGTTTATAAACTACAAAGGACTTATATTCTTTTTCAGGTTTTTAAAAAGCATTTAAACTTTAAATTTTAATTGTTTTATGGTAGTTATTTTTTATTGTCCTTTTAAACCATTTAATCTAACTTACATACAACTTTTTTACTGTAATCTTGTTACGCGAGCCATGCTGCGTATAGAAAGTCTGTTTGTCGCCCCTGTGTATTTCTGAGTTCCCCCTGAAGATCTGTACGGAATGTATTGTGAAAGAACTAGTTTAGGAACTGTTTACAGTCCGACTGCGCAGACGCAAGATTTCTCGCGGAATAGTAACTAATTTATATCAGTATATGTTTATTCGTTTTGCAAGTATTAGCCGTGTTCAGAATTCTGGGATCACTGTGGTAACTATTTTTATATATATTTATGCTTATCGGTCTGATTATAATATGATTGATATTTGTATATGTGTTTGTTGGTTCCTAGCCACAGTTTTTTAATGCCTGAGTGAATTATTTGTTGTAGTTGTATGATTATCACTCAAAGCTTTTTCTGTGGGTTTATTAAACTTGTTTAGATTGAAGGCTCAGAGAAATAAACGTTCGGAACCTTACTATCATCCTTTTATTTTGAAGAGCGTTGAGAGAAGGGAGTCTTACGATCCGGTCCTGAGAAATACCACACGGTATATATATTAGGTCTTTAGGGAAATCGCTAAGTAGCGAAACAAATCTAAACACTAAAAGTTATATTACAATATGTAACATTAAAAACAAAATCATAACCAAGGAACTATAACACTAAGAACCCCCCAACTCCTATGATCGCAAATTAGGAAACAGAACGCTTAACAATTAAATGTCCAATGACAAAAAGTCCAAAACATAACGACCAAAAACAAAACCCAAAATACACAATGTTTCAAAATGTCCAAAGCAACAAAAATTTGCCCATGTAACATAAGTTTCAAACAACGAGGTTATAGTATATAGAGTGATGATGTACTCTAATCCTTTACTAATTGTACAGGCCATGTACTTCACTTACAAAGGTCAAACTGTATATTACAGTATTCGGGGGTGATTTCTGAAAATATTTAGTTAGGAAATTTTGTTTTCCATTTAACTATTGGAATCCACACACACACCTTTATGGTGTGCAGACTGCAGGATTACATTTTCACAGGAAGACGTAATATTACAGTCTTTTACAGAGCAATATTTGATCGTTAATAAACGGTTCTGAGAAAACTGAGTAAAACTCAAGATACAAAACTTCCCCATACACTTTTACTCCGAAACCGTACTGCATATTTTACGTTTGTACTGTATGAATAGGCCATACTCTCTTAATAACCTTCAGTAAACTATCCCAAGTGTACACTCAGGCTAATACACAGGGAGAGGTGGCTAAGATCCTAGTTTCAAAGTTAAAAATGTAATCAGTTTAAAAACCTTAACATTTTGTTGTAATATGATAATCATTCCAATTTATACTGAAAGTTTTGTAAAAATGCTATTGAAATTATATAAGTAAAGTGATAACCAGAAAACTCTGAAATAAGAAGACGCCTTTTAGGATCAAGTTATGACAAAGTCCAATGAGCATGAGACACAGCATGAATGCAGTTAAAAACAGACCCATTTCACTAAATTTGTGATTAAAACAAATATGTCGTCTTATTCTACAGTTTCCTGGTTATAACTATACATTCTGTTCTATTCATTGCTCTAATGTCGTCTATTCTACAGCTTCCTGGTTATCACTATATATTATTCTCTGTTCATTGCTCTAATGTCGTCTTATTCTACAGTTTCCTGGTTATAACTATACATTCTGTTCTATTCATTGCTCTAATGTCGTCTTATTCTACAGTTTCCTGGTTATTACTATACATTATTCTCTGTTCATTGCTCTAAAGTCGTCTGATTCTACAGTTTCCTGGTTATCACTATACATTTTTCTCCGTTCATTGCTTTAATGTCGTCTTATTCTACAGTTTCCTGGTTATTACTATTCATTTTTCTCTATTCATTGCTCTAAAGTCGTCTTATTCTACAGTTTCCTGGTTATTCCTATACATTATTCTCTGTTCATTGCTATTATGTCGTCTTATTCTACAGTTTCCTGGTTATCACTATACATTTATCTCTGTTCATTGCTATAATGTCGTCTTATTCTACTTTTTCCTGGTTATCATATACATTTATCTCTGTTCATTGCTATAATGTCGTCTTATTCTACAGTTTCTTGATTATCCCTATACATTTTTTCTCTGTTCATTGCTCTAATGTCGTCTTATTCTACAGTTTCTGGTTATCACTATACATTCTTCTCTGTTCATTGCTCTAATGTCGTTTTATTCTACAGTTTCCTGGTTATCACTATACATTATTCTCTGTTCATTGCTCTAATGTCGTCTTATTCTACAGTTTCCTGATTATCACTATATATTATTCTCTGTTCATTGCTATAATGTCGTCTTATTCTACAGTTTCCTGGTTATTACTATACTTTATTCTCTGTTCATTGCTCTAAATTCGTCTAATTCTACAGTTTCCTGGCTATCACTATACATTTTTCTCCGTTCATTGCTCTAATGTCGTCTTATTCTACATTTTCCTGGTTATTACTATTCATTTTTCTTTTTTTTATTGCTCTAAAGTCGTCTTATTCTACAGTTTCCTGGTTATTACTATACATTATTCTCTGTTCATTGCTATTATGTCGTCTTATTCTACAGTTTCCTGGTTATTACTATACATTTATCTCTGTTCATTGCTATAATGTCGTCTTATTCTACAGTTTCCTGGTCATCATATACATTTATCTCTGTTCATTGCTATAATGTCGTCCTATTCTACAATTTCCTGATTATCCCTATACATTTTTTCTCTGTTCATTGCTCTAATGTCGTCTTATTCAACAGTTTCTGGTTATCACTATACATTCTTCTCTGTTCATTGCTATAATGTCGTCTTCCTATTCCAATATATATATATATATATATTAATAGGCAAAGACGAAAATCTACTCCTGCAATTTACCTCCTAGAGAACCAAACCTCGGAGCAAACCCTCTCCGAGTCCATCAGTAGACTAGCCATAGGTAATAACTAATACTAGAATTCCCAGTACGCTTTAAATCATCATGTTCCAAGAGTTTTGGGTTGCAAAGATATAGAGATTCTTGCTTGAAAAGTGTTTAATTCTGATAATTTCTCCATTGGTTTGCAACAGAAATGTAAGTAACTTTTGTAGATAAACCACAATTGAAAATATTCAGTTTTTAAACGGTAAAACAGGGATGTCTTATTAATTATTGATCAGAAAAAGTTTTTAAGGTACTTTGTGAATTGTACATGTCTAAAGTCCCATTAAAAATTATTTTAGGAACGTTGAACGCGTCCTCATCAGACATATCTCAGAATCCTATTCGGTCCGGCCACAGGGTAATTATTTAGAGAACCTGGGACAGAATATAATGAATTTGAGCTATCTCGCTGAACTCTCAACTCGGCGGTTCAAATTTGAGCTATCTCGCTGAACTCTCAACTCCGCGGTTCAAATTTTGAAACACCGATTTGAAGATAAAGATTCAGGAAGGATTTGAATCGGTGATTTAAATTTGAACCGGCGGCGGCGGGAGGTTTTAATTCATTTAATTCGGTCCCATACCAACCCCTAACATATTAAGAATTGTAAAAAACAACTGAGCCAATCTAACTGTTCAAAGATGTCCTAAGCTGAGTTCGGATGGTAGAAATTTGTCAAAAAACTGTATTTCTTTAAAAAAAATTATTTTTACATTTTTTCCGTGTGCAATGGATTGTCCAATACCATGGAAAGTCTTAAATTTTTCATATCATAATTTTTTTACCTTTCTATTCTTTCTGAAATATTTTATAAAAAAAAATTGAACCTACATTTCTTTTCTGAAATTTGTTTTTGCCTCTTCTTCATATATATATGTGTATGCCTCCCCCTCCCACTCCCCAACGTTTATAAATACAATCTGAAATATATATATGTGTATGCCTCCCCCTCCCACTCCCCAACGTTCATAAATACAATCTGAAATATATATATGTGTATGCCTCCCCCTCCCACTCCCCAACGTTCATAAATACAATCTGAAATATATATATGTGTATGCCTCCCCCTCCCACTCCCCAACGTTCATAAATACAATCTGAAATATATATATGTGTATGCCTCCCCCTCCCACTCCCCAACGTTCATAAATACAATCTGAAATATATATATGTGTATGCCTCCCCCTCCCACTCCCCAACGTTCATAAATACAATCTGAAATATATATATGTGTATGCCTCCCCCTCCCACTCCCCAACGTTCATAAATACAATCTGAAATATATATATGTGTATGCCTCCCCCTCCCACTCCCCAACGTTCATAAATACAATCTGAAATATATATATGTGTATGCCTCCCCCTCCCACTCCCCAACGTTCATAAATACAATCTGAAATATATATATGTGTATGCCTCCCCCTCCCACTCCCCAACGTTCATAAATACAATCTGAAATATATATATGTGTATGCCTCCCCCTCCCACTCCCCAACGTTCATAAATACAATCTGAAATATATATATGTGTATGCCTCCCCCTCCCACNGGTTATTTAAAATTTTGCAAAAATATTTGCATAATTGAAATGGCATGGTCAAGGGCTTTTCAAAAATTTTTTGGACAAATTTTTTTTTGCAAACATTTTTACTATAAAACTGGATTTTGCGATAAAAAATTCAATTTTCGCAAATTTGCAAATTTTTTTGCAGATTCTAAAAGTAGAGCACAATGAGCAAATGATGTATCATTTGTCATATTTGGACATAAAACATGGGATTTAGAGCGGGGGTCAAATTGACCCCCCCCCCAGCGTATCCTGGTTTTCAAGTACCCCAGCAGGGATAGGGTTAAATTTGATTTTTTTAAAAGAGTAAATAGGTGACATTTCAAAAAGAATTATAATTTACTATAATTTGCGCACATCTTCTATTTTATCTTTTTATTTTGGCTCTATCTGTGAGCACCTTCTCTATTTACAATATAAACAAAAAAAAACAAAAAAGTTCGCGGATTTCATTATATTTTTTTGCGCATTTTCAAAATATTACAAAATCAAAAACTTTTGGACATAAACCTCATGTGAGGTCCCAAACAAAATTTGGGCCCGATCAGTTAGGTCGTTTTGATGTTTCTTGGATACAAACAGACAAACAATCAAAAAGTTGAATCTTTTCGGGCAGAATTGTTTTTTTTCTCATTTTTTAAATATTTGTTATCAGGATATTGGAAGCCTGTTCTCCAGTGAAGATATGAGTATGGATGATGGATATCTAAGATTAAACCTGCTTAATTGTCCTAATACATCGACACTCCAGGTAGTAAAAGATCTAACCTTCGTTCCGAAATGTTATATCGTCAAAAAAATCAATTTATTTAAAATGGTTATTTTTAATGAGACTCCAACTAATTTTATTCGAATGTCTTAAGTAGTCACGTAAAGTTTGCAGATACAGGGTGTAAAGTTTGCAGATACAGGGTGTAAAGTTTGAAGATACAATCATACAGGGTGTAAAGTTTGTAGATACAGGGTGTAAAGTTTGCAGCTATACAAGGTGAAAAGTGACACAAGAGAGTCGACGGAAAGATTTTTTTCTTAATTTCTTTTCCAAAGGCAAAATGTATTATTTCTAAAAACATTTATTAACAGACACCTCCAGTCCTGGCATTTACAAAATGTGGTCTGCCATTATTGTGCTTTCCAAATTATTTGAAAATTTCGTTCAGATTTCAATATCATCCAATATATACTAGCCATTTTTTTTAATGGAAGTAGCTTTTTTGGATAAACAATTGCTTCATTATAGCTAACAATTCAAAGACCAAAGACATTCTCTAATCTCAATTATCATGTTTAGTGGGTGCAAAGTATAAACCCTTGTATACCAGGCTTTTAGGATTCCCCCCTTTCTGTATAACAAGCTTTTAACTGTTGCTCTGTCGGCCATTTTAAATCATTTATAAATTTTGGCGGATTTTCTCTTTTCGAATTAATTTCAACTATTTTCCAAGATTTTTTCTCTCCAATTTTGAAGTTCCATTAACCTTACCTAGGTGCCAATTGAGGTCCCACACAAAAAATTCATCCCGATTGGTTCAGCCGTTTGTACGTTTATTGGATACAAACGGACAAACAAACAAACAGACACAAAACCAAAAGTAAATTTACATATTTTCTAAGAGATCATGTTTTTTCTTGTGGTTTCAATTTAAAGGGTATTCGCAGGCTCAAAAAAAAAGAAAAAGTCTGCAAAATCTTATAAAAATGTTCGACTTTACAAAAGATATAAATTGATTTTTTTTTCTCGCATTAATGGAGTTTTAATTTACATGCATAATAAATCCTAAATCTTGATGGATTTGCATAACTGTGCACACGACACTTATTAATTAATTAACTGCAGTTTAATCTTTGATAAATTCAAGAAGTTTTAATGACGAATAGGACAAAAAATTTAGTCACGGTAGATTAATAAATATAACGAATAAAAAATTCTAAAACTTCTATTTTATCTGAAAAAAAATCCAAACTTTTGTTTGTTTCTGTGTTTGTCCACTTGTAAACAAAAAACAAATTCAATAAAAAATTTGATAATGAACATTTTAATCAGTGTTGAGGAAAGGTTTTCCATGCTAATTTTAGAACTAAATTTTTTAAACAATCAACCTGATGATATTTTGATATTTTTTAAAAATAGAAAAAAGGTTGAAATATTAAAATTCTACGACATGGGGTTGCAAAGATATAGGATAGGCTATTTCAAAAAAAACCTAAATCAAAATTTGAAACTGTGGAGAAGTGTAGGAAGTGACATTATACTGTGGAGAAGTGTAGGAAGTGACATTATACTGTGGAGAAGTGTAGGAAGTGACATTATAATGTGGGGTCATTTTCCCAAAATTTTAGAGTCCTACCATTTTGGGTTAAAAATCGAGGTTGCAGGATCGAAACTAAATGATAAAAACTTTTTCTGAAAACCGATTTTAATCTGTTAAAAGTTATGAAAATTGATTAAAATATATATACTTATATTATTCTCCAAAATGTTTGGTTATCTATAATATTTTCAAAATAAAATAAAAATGATTAATGTAAGTTTTAATCAGAAATAAATGAAAAAAAAACGCGAAAATCATGCAACCTCTAATTTTTTTTGTGTTCTTTGAAATACCCTAATATAGGGGTAATGAATGAGTTTGTGTTTCTTTGGAACGACATCAAACTGATTTGATGTGATTCCCCCCTGTGTGTCTAAATATACATTAACTTACTGTTGCATTGAACTAAGCTATTCCACTAAATTTCCCGGGGGGGAAATCACTGCAGTTAACCACTTCTATATTATATACAGTATATACCATAACACAGGTTGATTTAAAGGGAGTGTTCGCGAAAAATGAAAGGGGGTATAGGCTTACGGCAAAAATAAGCGTTTTTGATCGCTACTAATCTTACTTCTATCTGTTGCGTCTTTAAGGAGAACATTTCTTAAAAACCACTGATACCGAAGAACGTAGAACTCTGATCGTAAAATAATGAACCTAATTCCAAACAAATCATTCAGATATTACAACCAATAATCATCGATAATTTTTTGACACATTTCTATATAGTTGATATTTCATTATTTTTTATGATTTGAGAGTTACTTTTGAAAACTTTTTTTGATAATGAAGACGACATTTTCATATTTTCCAGGAATGTTCGAAAATCCAGCGTCAGCGAAATATTATTAAAAAAAACTAAATCAAAAATATTATGAAATATTAACTATGTACGAATGACTATTGGTCGTAATATCTGAATGATTTGTTGGGAATTAATTGATTTTTTACGATCCCAGTTGAATATTGCTACTTTCCGAATTTGTATGGACGCTATATGTTCTTCAACAAAAGTCGTTTTTATCAATTTTTCTCCTGATAGACGCAACAGATAGAAGTAAGATTAGTAGCGATCCAAAGTGCTTATTTTTCGCCGTAAGCCTATAGCCCCTTACAGTTTTTGCGAACACTCCCTTTAAAGACCACCAAGAATATTGTGCATTTATGGATAAAAAGGCGGTAAAATACCTTTCAGAATTTAAACGACTTTTATGTTATACAAAATGATAAACTGGCGCGCATTTGTTTAAACAATGATGTGTAAAACTGAAGCACTTTGCATTCAATCATACTAAAGGTCGTCTTTAATCTGCAATGGTTAGTATGGGTTAACTGTATCTGGTATTTGGGGGGGGGGGAATAGTCATTTAACAAGAAGAATACTAATTGCTAGTCTGCTTTATATCATATATCTGCTACTTATAGTAGTTATTCCAATAGAGAAATACTAATTGTTAGTCTGCTACTATGTATATATCCGCTAATAATATCTGCTAGATAAAATGAACAATTGTAAATCTGCAAGATTATATAAAAAATCAAAGATAAAAGATATTAACCCTAGAGTTTAAACTATTCAATATTCTCTTATAAAATCTGTAGATTCCCGTGAGAACTGTAGATTCTTGTTACATTATTCTGATTCAAAAATATAATTCAAATTTAAAATATACTTACAAATGAAACCTTAGACTTTCCCTTTTCTTCAAGTAAAAATGCATCAAAGTTTCATGCTTCATCAAAACCTATTTTCCCATAAAAAACGTCCATTTTCTATACCATTCTATTTTATCATTTATATTGTGGTTTTCAATTTGTTGAACCCTGTTCAGTGTCCATCCTAGATTTATATTTGGAGCTAGATATGGGCACATTTGACTTTCTTCATTTTGTTCGTTCATCGTTCGTGAACGAGCCATTTCGTTCGTTTTTATTTTAATAAATTATTACAAAAAAAAAAGTTCATTCTCAAAACTATATATGTTTATTTTCCAACTTCGTTTGGTTTCTCACTGTACGATCGTTCAGTAAAAACGTTCGTTCAGTAAAAAACGTTTGTTTTTTTCAAGTTTGTTGGAACGATTTTAAATCGTTTTTTTTTTAAACTTTCATTTCTTCATTTCCTTAAACAATTCATTTCGTTCGTCTATCGTTCGTTTTCTCTGAACGAACAATTTCTTTCGTTCTCAAAAATTTAGTTCGTCCAAAAAACAATATCCATCTCTATTTGTGGCCGGGCGTCTAGAAATCCAGATCAATTCTCCGATAAGTTTCAAGTTTGCCTCGGAGCAAACTAAAGAATAGAATCTGAACCTCAGGATGGAGGGAGGGAATTAAAAAAAAAATAAAGTCAGAAAATATTATTTTGTTTTAGTGTGACTGCGGACACATAAATTGTCCTTGCTGCAATCTGCTGATGAATCTGGAAGTTACAGATCCCTCACTTCTTCAGTAAACCTGGATATCCCTCACTTCTTCAGTAAACCTGGATATCCCTTACTTCTACAGTAACCCTGGATATCCCTCACTTCTACAGTAAACCTGGATATCCCTCACTTCTACAGTAAACCTGGATATCCCTCACTTCTACAGTAAACCCGGATATCCCTCACTTCTACAGTAAACCTGGATATTCCTCATGCTTCTTCAGTAAACCTGGATATCCCTCACTTCTTCAGTAAACCTGGATATCCATCTCTTCTTCAGTAAACCTGGATATCACTCACTTCTTCAGTAAACCTGGATATCACTCACTTCTTCAGTAAACCTGGATATCACTCACTTCTTAAGTAAACCTGGATATGACTCATTTTTCAGTAAACCTCGATATCCCTCACTTCTTCAGTAAACCTGGATATCCCTCTCTTCTTCAGTAAACCTGGATATCTTTCACTTCTACAGTAAACCTAGATATTCCTCACTTCTTCAGTAAACCTGGATATCTCTCACTTCTACAGTAAACCTAGATATCCCTCACTTCTTCAGTAAACCTGGATATCTCTCACTTCTTCAGTAAACCTGGATATCACTCACTTCTTCAGTAAACCTGGATATCACTCACTTCTTCAGTAAACCTGGATATTCCTCACTTCTTCAGTAATCCTGAAAGAAGATAAATCCATCCTTGCTCCCGTAATCCTAGGGATACATCCAACCTTGCTCCAGTAATCCTGGAGATAGATCCATCCTTGCTCCAGTAATCCTGGACTTAGATCAATCCTTGCTCCAGTAATCCTCGAGATATATTCAACCTTGCTCCATTAATCTAGGAGATAGATTCAACCTTGCTCCAGTAATCCTGGAGATAGATTCAACCTTGCTCCAGTAATACAGAAAAGGTCTATCATTGCTGTAGGGATTTAGGAGATTGGTCAATTATTGATCGATTTATTAAGATCAATTCTTGATCGATTTATCAAAATCAATTATTGATCTATTTATCAAGATCAATTTTTGATCGATTTATCAAGATCAATTCTCGATCGATTACCAAGATCAATTCTTGATCGATTTATCAAGATCAATTCTTGATCGATTTATCATGATCAATTCTTGATCGATTTATCAAGATCAATTCTTGATTTCATCTCATCACTACAGGGCTTGAAATTATAACTAACATAAAAAAATATCAAAGAAAAGTTTGTTTCTTTTCTTAATGTTTCCGTATTTGAATTGTTAGACTTAAAGGAATTCTAGTACCTTGTTTAGCCTATTATTACCAACATAAAAATTCAAGATTTTGAGTTGCAGAAAAAAAGTGCTTTGAGCACCGGGTGTATTTTAACTACTTTGTTGCGTTGAGCAAATTTTTCATATCAATGTTTAAAGTTTAATGTACAGGGTGTCCTAGGAAACATGACAGTTGGTTAATAGTTTTAAATGTCTTCTTCATTAATTTGTTAAGTTCTTTAATACCAAAGAGAATAATAAAAAAACATGGCTTGGTAGTATTATTATAATAAAGTTGATTTTAAAGAAAAATATAATTGTGTAAAAGATTTTTTTAGCAAAATAAACTGCAAAAGTCTTTAATATATAATACTAGATATGGAAGAAGACATTCTAAACTATTCACCAACTGTCATGTTTCGTGGGACACCCTGCATGTTGCATACAACTGTTACCATTGTACAACCTTACAAATATGTAGCACGATAAGCTGAAATTATTGCCTGGCTGTGTGGGCATAAACTCAGCTAAAGGGACTGTAAACTTTATTTCAAGTGACCCTCCATTGATAGAAAGGCGTATTCGATTCACAACGGTGCCCATTAACCCTTTGATGAATTAGATATTCATGTTTTTTTAAATGATTATTTTTAATTGTAGCTTCTTTAACCGAATTGCGCTATTTCTACTTTATACGCAATGGAGAAATTATCAGAGTGTAACACTCTTCAAGGGTACCATTTTTAGTAGGGCGTGCACCTTTTTTCAAATTGAGATAACAACTAAAGAACCTTTAAGATGTGACATTTCAAACCGTACAAGAATGCAAGGTGGTCCATGTAAGCCTAAACTAAGCTGTCGGTCCCAAGGAGTATGGAATAGAAGAGAGATACAACTGACGCAGCCCGCCCTACCCAAGGAGTATGGAATAGGAGGGAGATACAACTGACGCGGCCTGCCCTAACATATGATTGGACATGTTTTGCAGACTTCATTTGAATAAGAAATATTTGTCTGATGTACAATAACCACGTATACAATAACCTATTCTGAATATTTCTGAACCGTCTGCAAAGCATGTATAATCATCATTGGTAGGGCGGGCCGCGTCAGTTGTGTTTCCCTTCTATTTCATACTCCTTGGCCCTATCATATGATTATACAATATACATCCTTTGCAGACGGGCACTCCATTTGTATAAGAAATATTCAGATAGGTTATTGTATACGCGGTAATGAAGTACCGTCTGCAAAGGATGTCTAATCATATGGTAGGGCAGGCCGTGTCAGTTATATCTCCCTTCTATTTCATACTGCTTACTGCAGGGATCTGCAGTACACGGACCGAAAAAATATAAGGTTCTATACATAGAGAATAGACTATATATATTCTATTCTCTATGGTTCTATAGTAGATAGTGATGTAGACTATAATATTTAACACGTTTGGTCCAATAAAAAGGATAAAGAAATTGAGTCACTATATCTTTGCAGGCCATTGTGGAAGACCTTTGATATTTCAAATTATGAATTCTGTTGAAATGAATAATCACGTTTGAAAAAGGTTTTTATCATCAGGTTGCAAAGATATAAGGATTAGAAAATTTGAGTTTGTGGCCAAGGTCCTTTTTAGAAAGAAAATGCTTGAAAATAAGGTTTGATAAGCCACTCCAACATTGAAGAACTAACATCCGACTGACTGTGATTGTGATTAATAAAAATGAAGAATTATCATTGAAAATTAGAATCCTTCCAAAACAATATGTTTTTAGTTGGTGAATTCTCTCTATTGTTATTGGCATTGTGTGTTTTATCCATTTTCCTCCGGTACTGTCAAGTGCATCCTCTAAATAAATAGTATATATGAAAAAAAACCTCAATGATTATTGAAAGAGATTTTAATTATTTACCGCCCTATTGACAAACATTACCGACCTATGATTGCCACAACAGAAGGAAGTTAAGTTACTTAACGTCCCTTGGGAGAGTTATGTAAAATAGCCACCCGCTCTGCGAAGTTTTCGGTAAAATGATTCGCCCATTTTCTTCTCAAGAGACAGTAAATTGTGTTCAACTACTATTTCGGGAAATTATTAATTTTTATTTACCCACGGGTTCCCTCGACCAATTTTGTCTCAAAAACATCCCTCAATGCTCTCTGGATGTTTTGTAGAAAAAATTGGTTTTGAGAACCCCTGGGTAAAGTAAAATTCCATTAACTTCCATGTAAAGTAGTTGTAAATAATTATTACTACTACTTTACAGGGAAGTTAAGGGAATTTTACTTTTCCAAGGGCCCAGGGAACCCGTGGTGGTTAGGTAAAATTTGTAATTTCCCGTAAAATTATTTGTACACAATTTATCGTATTTTGAGAGCAAATTCGCGAAGTTTTTTTACAAAAACTTCGTAGAACGGGTCGTTACTTTACTTAATTGTAATTGATTGGTAATGTTGGTGAAAAGGCGGTAAAATTCTTTTAGTAACCCTGCATGCCTGGAAGTCTAAGAAATATAACTTTTTAATATATTTTATCGCGAAATTTGAAAGTTTTCATCAATTCCAGTGAAGGTTTGGCTGAAAGTTTGTATTTACATCCGGAAATGTTTCCTTCCATTATTCGTTATTGTAATCAGTATGAGCTCAATAGCTCGGAATAAGGATATATCCATTGATGTAACCCCTTCAGTTATAATACAGACTCGGAGCTAAGCTCAGATTGGGTAGTTCTGTTGATGCAACCATTTCAAGTCTAATACCCGGAGGTATGCTCAGATTGGATAGTTCTATTGATGCAACCCCTTCAGTTCTAATAAAGACCCGGGGCTAAACTCAGATTAAATAGTTCTATTGATGCAACCCCTTCAGTTCGCATATGGAACCGGAGCTAAGCTCAGATTGCATGTAGTCTGAACCACAAGCATCGCAGCTTATTAGCTCTTTTTATAGCTATAATAAGTCGTCCCGTGTATAGGGTATCAAGATAGTTTTGTCAGTTAAAAGATGCCATCCTAGAAATCATGATTCCATCACGTGTTTCAACGCATAGAAAAGCAAGCCACCGTTGACCTGAGTTCTATTTCAAATTCAAGCCAATAGGCATGAACCACGGCTTGAAGCATGAGTGAACGGAAAATAAGGTTGGCCAGGCTAATGCCCAAATGGAATAGTATTCGCCAAGAATCAAGATTAACCCATCATATGAGGCAGAGTAAAGGTGCAGAGAATCTGCCAGAGAGCTTCGGCTTTCTTTGATTCATTTGTATCAACCATTATTTGTTCTTTTTATACTGTAAATACATTTTTTTCCAATACTCTGTAGACTAATTCACATCAGTTTAAGGCTTTATATTTTCCTTAACTTCAACCACTTTTAACTGGAAACAATATGTTGTGTTATCCTGTAGAAAGGGGGGAGGGGAAAGTAAAGGGGTAGGGGCAAGTGTAAAAAAAAGGGCAATTGTAGTAAAAAAGGGGCCAAAATGAGTAATGTAGATCAAGAAATAGATAATAATATAATTAATTAAAAAAAGGTGCAAAGACAAGAATATCAAGAAATAGAAAGGATCGAGTTAAATAACATAAACTACGGTTTTTATTAAAGAAGGGACAATATGGGAAGGGATAAGAAACATAAAGGAGGTTAATAAAAAGGTCGGAAATATAGAAATTGGTGCAAAGGGAATGGTTAAATTAAAGAAATTGGAGCATAGGGTAGGGCTAAATTACAGAAATGGGAGCAACGGAAAGGGCTAAATTAAAGAAATTGGAGCAAAGGAAAGGACTAAATAACAGAAATTGGAGCAAAGGAAAGGGCTAAATTAAAAAAATTAGAGCAAAGGGTAGGGCTAAATTACAGAAATGGGAGCAAAGGAAAGGGCTAAATAACAGAAATGGGAGAAAAGGGAAGGGCTAAATTACAGAAATTGGAGCAACAGAAAGGGCTAAATTAAAGAAATTGGAGCAAAGGAAAGGGCTATATTACAGAAATTGGAGCAAGGGGGAGGGCTAAATTACAGAAATTTGAGCACAACAAGGAAGGTTAAATAACAGAAATTTTAATAAAGGGAAGGACTAAATTACAGAAATGGGAGCAAAGGAAAGGGCTGAATAACAGAAATGGGAGCAATGGAAAGGGCTAAATTACAGAAATGGGAGCAAAGGAAAGGGCTAAATTAAAGAAATGGGAGCACAAGGAAAGGGCTAAATTACAGAAATGGGAACAAAGGAAAGGGCTATATTACAGAAATTGGAGCAAGGGGGAGGGCTAAATTACAGAAATTTGAGCACAACAAGGAAGGTTAAATAACAGAAATTTTAATAAAGGAAAGGGNTGTTCTCGTAATAAAGGGATCAGGAATTGTATTGAAAGGGACTGTTGTCGTAATAAAGGGATCAGGAATTGTATTGAAAGGGACTGTTCTTGTAATAAAGTGATCAAGAATTGTATTGAAAGGGACTGTTCACGTAATAAAGTGATCACGAATTGTATTGAAAGGGACTGTTCTTGTAATAAAGTGGTATGTCCGATTAACCCTGGTACCCTGTAGACCCAAGTCTGATCAAGGATAAAATAAACTTTTCCTATTTGTCTAGCTTAAAATTGAGTATTTTTAATTACTCCCCTTCAACGGTATTTAACATTAGTCAGGTCGTCTTCAAATTCCATTTTATTTCAGTGACCACTGTAAGTTGATGCTTACATTAACAATTACGCAATTACTTTATTTAAATCATTATAATGCCGTGTCCTACGTATAATCAAGGAAATATTGAATAGAAGGATGGGAAGATAGGGTTTCCGTACACTTTGCTGTGACGTTTTTGGACTGTTGAAGAACTATTTTTTGCGTAACAACAATAACAAAGGCAGCCGATCTAATGTAAACATACATGAGTTAGTAAACTGTGAAAGTAGTATTATCTTGTTAAAAAAGATTGAAAAAGTTAAGGATTTTAGTTTTAGATACATAAAGGACCTTTTACAGAGACATTTTCAATCAAATTCAAGGTTATCCTGCCCCCCCCCCCCCTCCTATAGATGTCTGTTTATAATTTGTGTTATTGTTTGCAATCTTTATTATTGTAAAAAACGATTAGACTGTTCAAATTTTAAACAGAATTTTAAACAGAAAAATGATCAAAGTGTTAATTGTCTTTCCTTTATTTATAGCAGAACCTGTTGTAAATATGATTCAATACGTTAGTCTTAAATTGTATTGTAATAAATAAATATGTTAACGCTACTGTTGTTGTTGTTAATTAATAATTGTAAATAAAATATATTTAAACATGTCATTAAACATTATTTGGAAACTTTGATGTTTTCCTTTAAATCAACGTTTGTAAAAAAATTCTTTCACGCACCTCTAACCCTCAGTAAAAGTAAATTCAACCTAAAGTCTGACCGCGTCAACCTTGTTGCACCGGCTAGTCCTATTGAGTGTCTGCCTTATTTACCCAATGTCCGGGCGATACAGTACAAACTGGGACCAGAAAGGTTGACCAAGCTCGGAAATTCAAATGTACTACGGCTGCTTGTGTTTTGAATAGTCCGATGAAAAAAAACTTAATAAATGTGCTCCTTAGAATAGGAAACTTGTAATGCAGGAATTAATTAAAGTGAAGAACATTAGAGACCCATTTTACTTAATAAGCTGATTTGCAAAACTTAGATTATTCTTTAATTCTTTATTTTTCAGGATTGATGACGATATTATTTTGATGAAAATGTATTCCCTGAACAGTAAATATGTTTTCAAAGTTTGGTTTGGATTGCTGTATATCAGGTTCAACTTTAACTAGGGTTTCCTACGAAAGTAGATGTTATTTACGCGCAATTGCGGGCCCTGTAATTTCCACGCAATTCCGCACAATTCCGAGAAATACGAAAACACTTGCGCACAATCCGCGCAACGGAATTCAGATTGAAAGCCCTAACTTTAACTTATCTGCTTTTTAAAAATATGGACATGATTCTCGTCAAAAAAGGTTCTCCAATATTCTTGCTTTTAATTTGATAGATTTATAAATCCAACTATCTTTGTTAACATTTGGGACAATGTGATCATTTTTACTGCGATTTTACTTCTTCAGCTAGTTACATAGCAGATAGCACTGGAAACCACAGTTCCCCCAGTTCATATAAAGTACCAGACCGTGATTGAACCTACTAAAGCAAAATGTATAGTACACATACAGATAGTATGAGGAATAACAGGGCGGTACGCCAAATGATCAATTCCCTTCTTGTGAAATCAATGTGAAAAGTAACATATAATTAAGTGTTGAGGATGTGCCCAAAAATGGAGATCTGATGGAAGTTTACTTCCATTTTGATTAATTCCACTCGAGGGTCAATTGAAGTTACATTTACAGGTCCTTTAAATGTTTCTTATCTTTTATTTTATAGCATAAACGTTCAAGCTGAACAAACAATGCTTGTATTCTTTGCATTTGTATATTTTGATAATATGTTTGCATATACTGTAGATCTGTACAGTGAGTGTAGATTGAAGTACTAGGACAAAACGTTACTGGAAGTAAAGTCCTGAGTTTTAGATTCCTGGGACTTTTTTATTGAAATAGTATGTGGGCTGCCAAAAAGTCTTAGGAAATAAGACTACAGGAATTAAAGTCCTTAGGAAAAAAAGTCCTAAGTCTTGGGAAAATGAAATCAAGTCTAAGACGTTCTCTTGAAAAGGACTTATGCATCTGCATATTGAATAAAGCCAATGTTAGTGCAGTATACTGGTAACATGATTTCCATCTGTATCATGTGACAACGATACTGCACTATCATTGGCTGAAGTTCTGGTGACGTAATACGGACTATACGGACTATATGTAATTATATTATAAATTGTTTCTATTAAAAATGCTAAATAATAATGTAAAAATTATAATAGGAGCAAACCTGGGATTCTCAGGCTCCTGTGGGATACGTCGTTTTCAGATTGGTCGCATATTTGTTGAATATGATCTGTCTAATACTACAACTTTTTTACAAAATCTGACATATATTATTGAATTTTCGTAAAAATTTTACACAGTTTTCTATCAATTTCTCGAGACAGGAACATCAAATAGATGTTTTATATGTAACGTTTAACGCACGCACTCCTGAAGTAAAAGTAAATTCAACCTAAAGTCTGACCGCATCAACCTTGTTGCACCGGCTAGTCCTATTGAGTGTCTGCTTTATTTACCCAATGTCCGGGCGATACAGTACAAACTGGGACCAGAAAGGTTGACCCGGCTCGGAAATTTAAACGTACTACGGCTGCCCGTGAACGCCTGAGATTATCAGGTTTCATCCTATACCCCCTTTCATTTTTCCTTTACAGTCCCTTTAATTACGCTTTTTTTATTGAGAATGCATACACCGACAAAAAAAGAGAAAAAAAATACTTCTGAGAGGTCAAATTGGGATCGAAAATCAGTGATAAGAAATGGTAAATTGACATGTTTCTGATTGGTTGCAAAAGCTACCATCTTTCCACTTCTTAAAAAAATACCAAATTTGTGCAGTAAAAATGGGCTTTTTGCAACCTGGCCGATTCCCATACCTATTTGTTGAAGGCTGAAATTTGTATAAATTGAAGAAGATAAGAAAAAGAATTTATTCTCTCAATGGTCATTTACAAGCATACAAGGGGACATCATGTGGATATTTAATTTTCTTGCTTTAGTTTCCAGTATTATAGCAGCAGGTGCTGGTGGTATTCATGCAGAAGAGAACGCAGTCATCATATTTGGAGGAGGCATTGATGAAGGTAAAGCTGAAGCCTATCCAGCTTCCTGTAATCTGGACCTGCCTGAAGACACAGGCAACTTGTACGGTATAGGAGCCACTGTTTTAGACGGTAGCGTTTACTACTGCGGTGGGATGACATTTGCACAGGGAGATTATAGGAAAGTCTGTTACCAGAGTATATTTGGTACATGGGTTGAGAAGGATCCCATGTTATTCCGACGGGCATACAGCCCCTTAGTCACTGTTGGAAGCAACATTATAGCTTGGGGAGGATGGGACGATTTTGTGGTTCACGATACTGTTGAGATCTTCGACGGAGAGTCATGGAACCTTCTCCCTTGGAGGATGACTGGGAGACGAACTGAAATGTGCGTTGTTCCAATCAGTGATCGAGAGGTGATCATGATCGGTGGATATACTGGAGATGATCACCTCAACACCGTGGAGGTTTACGATATTGAAGAGGGATGGGTTGCAACCCTCCCTGATATGCCGACAACAAGGCGAGGACTAGCATGTGTAATGCACGAGAATGAAATCTATGTAGCTGGAGGACTTGATAGTTATTCAACAACTCCATCCAAGAATACTGTTGCAGTTCTCAACCTTGAGACTCTAAAATGGAGAACAATGGCCTCGATGAACCAGAACAGGCACTACCTGACCATGGAGGTTGTCAACGGCTCCCTCACTGTATTCGGAGGTTGGGAGGCTGGCAGCAAGTCCCTGGAGGTGTATACAGAGGGAGAGTGGATTGAGAAACCTCTTGGGTACAATCATGCGTTTCATGCCTCAGTGTCTCTTCCTTGTGTTTAACTTGTGCTACAAATGAAAAATATAATTTAAAGTTGATGAACTCTTAAAAGCTTTAGAATAGCAGAAGGAGATATAAATATTGTTTGACACTTTTGGTTTCAAGTTTATATCAAATTGAAGGATTTTTTTTACGAAGAGAGCCCTTTTGACAAAAAGAGTAGAGCAAAGAAAATTCTAATCATGTCTTTACCATTTTTAATTCATTAGAATATGTGAAATGCAAAGTTGTTGTTTTTGTTTTAAAACAATCAATTTTACTTATTGTTGATATCTTTTAATACTCAACAATTAAGTAATCTACATAATGATATTCACGACAAACCATTTCAATCCTATTAATTAAGTTAAAGTTAAAATTCTGTCTATTTCCTCTTTTGATTCTGCAACATAAATCCGCAAGACCTTAATAAAAGAAATTTTGAATAAAATTTATTGATTTTAATCAAAAGAAAAGTGGAAATCTCATTTACTCTTGAGGAAACAAATGTTTAAAAGATACCGTTATATAGAAAACGGGCGTGTCACTCTATAAATGGAGAGTTACTTAATGGGACTGTAAAGGAAAAAGGAGGTATAGGATGAAACCTGAGAATCTCAGGTGTTGAACGATACATATAAAACAACTATCGGATGTTACTGTCTCGAGAAATTGAATTAAAACTGTGTCAAATCATACGAAAATTCATATATATGCAATTTTGTATAGAAGTTGTATTGTAGTTGCAGTATTGATAAAATTACATATAGTCCGTATAGTCCGTATTACGTCACCAGAACTTCAGCCAATGGCAGAGCAGTATCGTATCACGTGACGTGATACAGACAGAAATCACGTGACCAGTATACTGCACTGCTATTGGCTGAAGTTCTGGAGACGTAATATGGACTATACAGACTATATTATTAAAATTATCAATTATGTATATTAAAAATGCAAGATAAAAAAATTATAAAAGGAGCAAACCTGAGATTCTCCGGCTCCTGTGGGATACCGTTGTTTTCAGATTGATTGCGTATTTGTTGAATATAATCTGTTTAATACTGCAACTTTTATACAAAATTGCATATATATACGAATTTTCATATAAATTTGACACAGTTTTATATCAATTTACCCAGACAGGAACATCAGATAGATATAGGTATAATTCACCGCCTGAGATTCTCTGATTTCAGACTAAACCCCCTTAAATTTTTCCTTTACAGTCCCTTTAAAATTACGTGTATAGTCCCTTTGACCAGCATGATACATGGTGAATAATTTATAAAAAGAATTCTGCATATGTTTATTAAACCAAAAATCTCAATTAATTTTCAATCCGAAAAACAATTTTTAATATGTTCTGAAATTGCAAGGTTTGTCAGTACAAATACTGTTCTATAGTTACTCTGCAAAATAAGCACAATTAGCTAGCTCTGAAATGAAAGAAAATTTAAGGGACTTTGGGCTGAACTTCTAGTTACCCTATATACCCGTTTCACTGAGTAACTGAGTAACAGTGAGGAAGATATTGTCATTTTGCTCTCTTAAAAAGAGACTGATTCTGTCTCTGAATTGCCTCAATCCGCGAAACAACAATTATATTTTCAGCTAGACAAACAAGGATTTCTCAAACATTTTTGCTCAGACATCGAACTGCTCGATCCCAAATTTGTTATCTATCTTTTAATCGATTAATGGCCATGAGAGGGGGGGGGGGGGG